TGTACATATAGCTTTATTTTAAAATACTTAAGTGCTGTTTGTGCCATTTCATGAGATAACTTATTATTTATATAGCTTTTATATATATATATATGTGTTTAGCATATGAAAGCTAATGAAATCTGGATTGCAAAAACAACTTGCAGGAAAGTCAGAGYTAATTCCTACTGGGATTATATTGCCAACTGGTTTGGTACTTCARTCACTGAATTGTTGATTTTTTTAGTATTTGTTTTTTTACACAATAAGCAACTTTAAAAGGATAGATGACCCAAGAGTGGCATACACTGGGAAGAGTAGGAATTTCTCCCTTCAAAGTATGGATTGTCCAATGGGAGCATATCTGAGTTGTTCCTTTCCCCTGCTTTCAAACCAGCAGAGTGCTTGAGAGCTTTTGTGACTTCAGGTACTGCCCCTGCTAAGGACCAGGAATTTTAAAGAACCATCCTAGTTTAATTAACTTTAATTTGTGTAACAGTCATTTGGGGTAGCATAGTTCRTAGGGTTTGTGTATCCTGTGGCAAATTTCCTGGTTAACAGCTGTAAGATCTATCTATTTAGATACCCATACTAAGAATCCTTTCTTTTTTCCAGGTGTTGATCCTATTATATGGGARCAAGCCAAAGTTGATAACCCTGATCCTGACAAGTAAGTCCARTAGTCCGTCCAAGTACTGCAACAAGGCTTGCAAAGGGGAAAAAGAGATAGTAATTGCATAATACCCTTCAGGTAACTTGCAAGAAACTTGCTCGAGTACAACTTGGCCAAGCGCTGATCTCCTTGAAAGCAGTGAAGATTACTGCAAGTGCCTGTCTTAATCCTTTTACCCATTTAGGTGCTTAGGAGCTGTCAGGATAAAGAGACTTACTTGCATTACTTGGAGGCCTGGTGTCCTCCATTACATGGATTAGTTGTGATTTATTTTTTGCAACTGTTAGTTTTTTCTCCTCATTGCTGAAAGTGATGCACCTTTCCAGCCTTCGGTGGTTACAAATAATTTGAGCTGATTTCTTTACGAAAAAGGAACAGTTCATAGGGAATAGTGAGAACTCTAGAGCTTAGCAAAAGAAGATATATATTAGCTTACAACAGACCAACATTATCTGTAACTTTATATTAGATTCTATTCATAATTATTAATCCTTACCCCATGTCCAGTATAAAAATGCATTGTTAGAAATGTTTATGTTCTCATAGATTGATTCCTGTGCCAATGGTGGGTTTCAAGGAACTGTTGAGAAGATTGAAGGTCCAGGATCAGATGACCAAACAGCATCAAACWCGATTAGATGTAAGGTTGCTCATCTTCATCATTACTTGCTGTCGAGAAAGGATGTGCTRTTAAATGCACCTGCCCCTGTACGTTCAAAACTGAAACAAGAACCATGTTCATAATATATTCCTTAAATAGATCTTTTGCCCAAAAACTGAGCAGTGTGGTTTGGCTTYCATTTGTTTCAGGTTCAAGCTTACTGTTTTGTTATAGACTCATTTACACCAGCCTCAATTAAGTTGTATTGGCATGGACTTTTAAATTTGGGCAACCCAAAAATCCCACTTGCATTAAAAAATAAACACAAAGCAGAACAGTAGAGATAGAAAAAAGCTTTCTAAAATCATCTGGGTCAAGGGCACTAAATTGCTGTGCTGTGTAATGTCATGAAAYTCCCATTTTTAAATCAGGACTAATGTGTTCTGTTATCAAAAATTCATCTGACTTCCAACTGACCTCCATCTCCTCTGCAGATAATATCAGAAGACATCAGTGAGCTGCAGAAAAACCAAACAACAACTATGGCAAAAATTGCACAGTACAAAAGGAAACTGATGGCACTCTCTCACAGAACATTACAGGTAACAGGGATAATCCAAATAACTCCAGTCTAATGCCAGCAGTAGTCCAAGGGCCTGTGCTATCTTGGGCAAGCCAATGCTGGAAATTATTCTGACTTCAGCTAACAAGTGTTTATTTAATTACCAGGCAGAGCTGTCAGKGAAGACTTCAGGTCTACAGTACTTAGGAACCTTCTCTCTCACTCAAAAGCTGCAGGACCATTCTGAGCTCTCAGAGCAGCAGACTAAATGACAGAACAAATCTAGTGAGACATAGGCTGAAGGAAGGGAAAAAAGATGTGGACAGGCACATGTGGAAAGAGATGGGCCAAGTGTTCTGTAATGAACATCAAAGGCTTCTTTTGTAGGTGTTAATAAAGCAGGAGATCCAAAGGAAAAGYGGTTATGCCATTCAAGCGGATGAGGAGCAGCTTCGTGTACAGTTGGATACAATTCAGTGTGAACTTAATGCACCAACWCAGTTCAAGGTGAGTGGCTGATAGAGCTTGGCTAACAGCTCTGGGGTTTCCTTAATAGAAACATGTCGAGTTTCCAAACCTTATATATATTCATTGTGGAAAGCTTTCATCAATCCAGCAGTGTCAGTGGGTTGTAGCAYCATGCCTTTTGCTGCATAAACAATAGTAATTTCACTATTTTTGAGTTCTTAGGAGTAGTGGAGTTGCTTGCCTTTTGCATGTCTTCCAGAACATTTAAAAATRGAATGGGCAGCAGTGTTTCCAGCTCTGGTGACTCAAGGAATGGCAGATGCTGAAGCTCTGCCAGATGTAAAGGAGTTATGTTTCATTTAAGCCTGTTTCTCTTCCCAGGGCAGACTGAATGAGCTCATGTCCCAAATCAGGATGCAGAATCACTTTGGAGCAGTGCGGGCTGAAGAGCGCTATTACATAGATGCAGACCTCTTAAGGGAAATCAAGCAAGTAAGTATTACTGGGTAGAATCTTGGTATACTCTAAAGTTTGTAATTTAACCCACACACACACTGACTCTATCTACAGTGCCACATGCCTGCARTTGTTCRATGAAGTCATGCTTTTAATTGTTCYCRGTGCCAGTGTGTCAAGCTGTTGTACAAACCTGCTCTGTRGAGAGAGGCTGTTAGCATATTCTGCACTGTTACTCGTCTTCCAGGAAATGATACCATGCTTTTCAAATGTGCCAAGGCCACCAGTCATGACACCTTTGACAAATATTTAGGTCTCTGAAGCTGAACAATGCTCATACTTGTTTCTGAACTATCTGCAGCACCTGAAGCAGCAGCAAGAAGGGCTGAGTCACCTAATCAGCATCATCAAGGATGACTTGGAAGACATCAAGCTAATAGAACATGGGCTGAACGAGAGCATTCCCATCAGAGGAGGAGTCTTCAGTTGACTGGTGGAGGCTTACACAGAACATGTTAGTCGAGTTCATGGCTCACCTTCCAAGGYTAGAACTGTTGAGGTAAAATAAAGCCCATATCTTGTAGGAGCAAAATGGTATTTTGGCTGTTACTATTAGAATTAGCAAAACCTCTTCTAAGTTTTGAAAATAAACCTTTGGAAGGTTTATATTTTATAAAGCTGTATATGCTTTAACAAAAGAAGGAAAACTGAATCTGTTCAGATACCATTTTAGTACAAAACTATATGTACTATTGTACATTTTTTTCTTTTTTCTTCTCCTTTTTTTACGACAGCATTCTCCTAGAAATGCACTGCTGAGGGGATTGTTTCATTAATGATTCATTTTGGGGAAMGCTTAGCCCGTGTCCATGTTTCTGTCAAAACAATCAAGTAACATCGTTGTGTAAACAGCTAATTTAAATCATTACAGAGATGTTTGTTGCTGTAACTACGTTGTTATCTGCAATACCAGTAGTTTACTGGGGCAGGCTGCAGCAAGTTCATGCTTCCAGTTTGTCCTTCATTTGAACTGCAAGGATCTGAAGGTTTTTATTACTTTACATATGTGAATTCTATAAAGCTTTGCTGCCCGTCTAAGTAACAGAATGTCTGGACATTGTCTTCCGCCTTTTTTTAACGCCCAAGAGTAATAAATTCAATCTGACTTTGTAATAAGTGGTTTTGGCTCTCCATGACATCAGCAAAGGGGTGACACTGCTCATAATTCCAGGTAAGCCTACTTCACTCTGCTCCCAGCACTGCAGGTAAAAGGCTGTCAAACCCTGKGCCACAGGCTGGGTAGCCTAAACCCCCAAACCAAAATGAAGGGCATAGCCCTTATATCCTACCTGRTAGAAAGCTCTGCAGAGCAGGTGCCTGCTCACTCCATGCTGTGGAGAGAGACTTTTCCCCTCAGTACGAAATTCACAGAAAAACTCTGAAACAAAGAAACACTTCTATGCTTTAGGAGTTTGCACAGCAGAAACAAGCAGGGAAGAGGCAGAACCATTTTGTTCATTAGCTATCAAAATGAACTCCATTGATAAAATTTGAAGGATGGAAAAATAGAAATACAGCTGCAGTGCTGGGACCTGTATTGTGTATTTGACTGTGTTTGTGGAAGCACAGTTCCATTACAACTGAAAAAGCATTTAACTCGAGTTAAAGGGGAAGGGGATTGCTTTTGGAACCATAGTTCCATAAACTGTCTGCACTGTGGAATGTAGGCTCTAACACRAKCTTTGTAATAAATTCTGTGAGACTAAAATTCTCTTTYGGGAGCTGGGGTAGCAGTCTTAASTGAAGTCTTCTGCCACGGGACCCCKCCTAGACTGTACTGCAGRTATTTGAGAAATACATTGTTTCTTGTTGTGCAAACTTTTCACACCCCACTTCACTTAGTAAGCTGCACTCGTACCCTGCTTTGAAAATTATTTGAACATGCAACATAGGCTCCTTAGCAGGAGCTTGATCTGCTTTCCTGGACTTTGAAAATGAACTTGTCTCAATAGATTTCTTAAACAAGTCCCCCTGCTAGAGACACTATTGCATGTTTGAGGTATTTTGTTTTCAACATACTGCTCTACTACATACACTTAGTAGCTCCAGACTTCCAGAACAAGCTTACCACAGCAGAGGAACACCAGCAGGGAAGTAGGTGACATCACTGGAACAGCACTGCTGCTCACTGAGCTGACTAGAGAAGAATGAACAGCCAAGAAACAGCAATCTACAAAAATAGTTTATTAAAAGGAAAGCTGTTATCAAACATGTKCTACTTAGTTAAAACATTGCCCACAAGTAATATCTCTGCTTCCACTTTACTGCTCATGAATATAGCTGTAACATTTCATCACACTGACAAGAGAAGCAAAGTTGTATCTTYCCTTTGAGCAGGAAATTCTACTTAAAATACAGCTTCTTTAAAATATGGTCAGAATTGAAGCGTAGTTCATGTATTTTAGCTGTTACCTTCCCCAGATGGGTCACAGCTGTTGCAGACAGTCATGTCTGTTTTGGGTACCTGCCTTCCCTTCCCCTGCTTGGCATTTGCAGGCACGCTCTATGTTAGGTCAGGCAGTCCTGGCTTYGCAGAAATCAAGGCATCAGATATGGCAACCCTGTGCAGGTTCTCAGGATGGGCACTGTTTGACGAGGCGGAAGGCTTCCAGGAACTCGTTGAAGTCAATGTTCCCATCTTTGTTGAAATCAATGCTGCGGACCAAGTCATTAATGCCATCATCCGTGAGTTCAATGTTCATGTGGGAGCTGAACAGTTTCCAGGTTTGCTGGAATTCCTCAAAGGAGATGAGACCTGTGGAGGAGCATTTACATGCTGTAACTACATCTAACATAGAGAACACCAGCTAAAGCACCACTTAAAGCAGCAAAGAGACATAGTACAACCGGACATTTCAGAAGCTTGGGAGGGAGCGGGAGGACCCAAGGCTTTAACAGTTAAATAAAAACACCTTTGTACGTACTCAAGGAGGCTCCAAAGCAGAAGGGAACATGAGGCAGTACTCAACACTGCCTGCACACTTGCTTACCTGAATGGTCTTTGTCTATGATCCTGAATATTGTCTCCAAGTTGGATTTGTTTCGATAAATGACTTCCAGCAAGCTCGACTGGATGCGCTGAAAGACATGATCACACTTCTTATCCTTCTGACACCTCTGCAGAGTCAGTACTACAGATGTCGCCATAAATAAGATTAGTTTTCGCTCACAAGAATGTGCCAGCAGTGCCTTATCAAATAGGTGTGTGATGACTGGACCCTCTRTGCAACTGCAGAACAGATCATCAGCAATCTGTCCCTTCCCAATAGCTGGGCTTCCCTTTTCTAGGCTAATAGTGACCCAGGCTGCATTTTATAACCACTGCAGAGCTGCATTTGCTGGGTGTAATTAACAGACTGCTACTTGGAGAGTGGAATACACTTTTCCTATTCAAAAGCCTGCATCCAAACTACTTTTAAGTTTTGATTTYACATCAATCATTTATTTCTAAAATGGGCTGGATGCCTCAAGACTATTTGAGCTCAGGCAAGACTTCCTATCAATTTTAGTGTTGTTTTGGAATATGCAGGAGCCATCCACTGTTATTTTGTACTATACTTGATTTGCAAATGCAGGAGATCCAGCAAGCAGCTGCTTCACCTCATGCTTTGATGGAAGGGGTGAGTGCTTACCTCTTGGCTTCTCTGCTCCATGGCCAGGTCATCCAGCCAGGATTTATATTCCAGCATGCCGTCCTCAGTCCTGCGCACCAGCTGTGGCCTCAGCATTCGCCAGGGCAATCCCAGCCGCAGCACTGACTCCATTGCTGTTGCCCAGTTGCTCAGTGTGATCTTTCCTGTAGGGAAAGGGGAGACAGTTGTGGGACACAGGTAGAAGAAAGCATGTGAAGGCAAAGAAAAAGCCTAAAACAGTGACACATACCCARTCCAGGWGCTGSTGACAGCRCAGCATTATTTTGYACTGCAAGCACAAGCACACCTCACYCYMAAGCCTCAGTAAGCTTTTAATCATTGCAACAAATCAATGCTATGAAACTGCCAATGTCTGAACACAGACAAGACACATCGGATATTTCATGAGAAATTTGCAGCTTACTGCCCATTTTAGCAGCTGTTKTAACAACTGAGCTGGATTCCTGTGAACAGTTTTGCTGCCAGTGAAGAAAGCAAATAAGCAGTTGCCCCCACAAGCAATTCTGTGAGCCACCATGTCACTTTGCTCCCCCAGCACACCAATGGACAGATCTGAGCCACACCTCAGTCATTGCACCAACATAGCACTCCTGTCAGCCAGAGAACGAAGAACTTGCACAGTTCCTTCCTTAAGGCTCTGACAGAGGTAACTGCCATGGAGGACATCCCTCACTGATTTTAGACTCCAGGGATGAAGGGCGCTAGAGACCACCCAGCCCTTCTCAAGTAACGTGACACATGCTCCCGGTCATCTTTTTCAATGTTTCACCAGTACTCCTGCTGCAAAGAGTTCTAGTACCAGTCTCAATTTTTATACAGTAGGGTAAAGACCTCCTGCTTTTCCAGCACCTGCTCTTTATGGTGTCACTCAGAGGCATTCACAGAGACACTGAGTAACTGCAGATGACCTCTGGCAAGGACTGATCCAGCACACGCCCAGAACAGTTGGTGACAAGTGTCATTGAGGATTCTGCAAACCAGCCACAAACTCAGCTGAGTGACTTCAACCCAGAGAATTAACCTGCGTGTCCCTCAGCTCTTGAGTTACCTGTATTGTCCCCGTCGTAGGCCTTGAAGGCACTGATGAGGGCTGAGGTGTGAGCAAATAGCTTTTCCCGCAAGGCTCGAAAGGCTGACTCCTCTACTCTGCTGATTCTGGAGGATGCAGAACAGAGAGAAGCACCTTAAAGATTTGCCAGAAATGACAACAAAAACTGCACCTATTCAGTCCTCTGTCTGGTTTGTCCATGGATTGCTTAGACCCTCAAACAACTGCTCTGCACAGCTACAGCATCTTAGTACCCATGCCAAGGCACTGCATGCCTAGGGCATGGTTCCCTGCAGCTGATGCCATGAGTCCTGCAGTCATTTGTGAAGTAACAAAGCAGAAGGTCAAAAGTTAAAACCTGACATTGAAAAGAAAAGGGGAAAAATCAACCTGTAAAAAAATCCCCTTTGGATTTTGTAACATTCCCTTGTCAACCCTTGAGCCTGCCTGAGGAACTTCAAGTATAAAGCTTGAACCCCTATTCAGGGCTAATATTAGAAAATCAGTTTGTGAAAGTTCATCTCCCATGTAAAATTTTTAGAAAAGCTGGCAAAGTCTTCTCCTAGGGAATTTTGACTTGATGAATACAGAACAACTGGAATGCCTTGCCTTTGGGTCATAGTGAGCGTATGGGCTGTCTTGTTTGCTTGGTACTGAACGAAGTGGGGGACGAGGTCTGGTCCCAGCTTCACATAGGCTCCCCTGTTGCTGCCAATCTCATAGTAGTTGGAGGCTGAAAAGATGGTCAGCACCTAGTCCCAAAAAAGAGGCATTTACACAGTCAGTACATACATCCTATAATACATATGTATGTGTCAAGAACATACCCAATCCCCTCCAGAATACACAGATTGTAAAGCACTATGTTTTATGCAGAAGAGGGAGGGTGAAGTGGCAGCTGGCCTGGAAGCCTTGCAAGTGTGTTACTTCTGGGAGGCCCTGGTCATACCTCAACCTGGCCACATTCTTGGCTTCTGCAATTTCCCTGTGCTCTCTCTCCCAGCAAATGTGCTCTCCTGAGTTAGACTGTCCTGACAAAAATATTGACCTGATGGAATATTCTGAGAACAGAAATCAGCTGCATCAGCTTAGTAACACCCTKTTGAAGCTCATCTACAGGAACAGCTGCATTATGTGGGGGCCATGGCACAAGTGGGTTCAGATCTTATCTCAACCACTACACACAAGGACACTGCCTGCACAGCCATGTCCCCAACAGAGCAGGCAGCTCCAGATTGCCCTGACCTAAGACCTCATCTGGAAACACACTTCAGTAACTCCCAATGAGGCTGTTCAAGGATTTTTTCAGTGTTTAAATTCCTACTGGAAGAAATGCAGAACTGAATCAAGCCACCCCCCAGAAGCCCCACCCTGGCAGGATGGAAACCCAAGTATCCTTCACACCATCCTCAGCTGACCTTGCGGTTGTGACAGAACTCATAACCCTCTTGCTTGCACTCATGAGAGCGGATCAGGAACTGYAAGTTGTACTTCTCAAGGAACTTCTCTGTCACATCAGGCCCAAAGTAGCAGCCACCACCTCGCACTTTATTTTCTCTGCAGCCCTCCTGAGGCATGGGGTCACTCCAGAGGATGTCCAAAACCTGAAAGCATTGGATAAGTTCACTAAGCAAGTACTGCTCAGTCTCTGAATCCCTCCCTAGACTCCTGCTATAACCACAGTGCAGGGGAACAGATTTCCTGCATTCCAGCTAAAGACTGTCACAGACCTGGGCCACCTCAGAAGTGATAATATAGTTGGTCTGGAGCTAGAGGCATACCCCAAGTGCCTGGGGAAAGAGGGATGTGCATCCATCAGGCCTGATCCAAGCTTTGCCTTTGCTACATTACTATGTCCAAGACTCTTGCCTGTCCTCCTCCATCMCAAAACACAAGTCCCAGGCAAGAACAACCAGCAGATCCTGAGAGCATTAGCAGGCTTAGTATTAAACTCCTTTGTTCTCCAGCCAGGACATTCTGCAGCCTCCAGAAATACAAATGCTGACTCAGTAATCAGTGTTTGGATTAAAGTTTAATCTCTTTAACCCTGACCTCAATATATAGCTCTATAGCGATAAGGTGTGCAGCACTGAAAGGTCATATWTAGTGTGAACTAAGTAACCATGCTTTCAGAGTGCACAGAAGAGACAGGCTGGAAAAGAAAGGAAAGCAAATCCCCAGGGCCGCTCCTCCCAGGAGGTAGCGCAGGTACCTGACAAAACCTCTACAAGGCTCCACAGATCCACCCTTCCTGGCCACCTAGCACTGAAGGATCAGCTGCTGCAGAAAGCACCCACAGCACACGAAGCTCAGGACCCAACTTAGACTCCTCACCTGCTTCCACTCCTCCTGGCGCGTCCAGCACGGCTCATCTGCATCCTTCAAGGAGACCATGCTGGAATAGGTGAGCTCCTCTGGCTCTGACTCACTGATGTCCACCAGCCGGCGGCACGWGTCAATTTGCTCCTGCACCGTTTGCCGGATCCACCTGGAGAACTCCAGCCTGTTGGCTGTGCTAGGAGCTTGGGCTGACTGGGGCTGCAGAGATAACCTGGCAGCTGCCTCATTCCCTGCTGCATCAGTCTCTGATTTGCTCTCCCCATTTAGGGCCCGTAATTCTGGTTTTCTACTCAACTCCTTTCTTTTCTTCATCCTTAATACGGAAACAAACTGAAAGATAGGAGAGAAAAGGAGCTGATTAACATGGCATGAAAACCCAGATCTCCAGCTCTACATCTTCAATTAACAGACTTCAACTGATCCAAGCTCCAGCTCCCTTCTGSCATCAACTGTTGATTAACTGCAGGGGATTATTAGTGCCATCCTAGGTTTACAGCCGGGCCCCACATCCATCACATCACRTTATTGCTCACTGACTTCATGCAGACAGATTGAATCTGCAATGGGAACTATGCAGGAGAGCAAAGGAAGCATTAACAACTAATGCAAAAGTTATCRTTACATTTGGAGAAGCAAAGTAGCATTTCCCAACTAGAGAGTGAGGCAGAGAAGTTAAATGATTTATCAAAATCCTTCTGGAAATCTAAGGGGTAAAAACAAGCTTAGTAGCTGTGGGACAAGGTCTCATCATCACTGCGTTTTTACTTCAGGACCAGCATGAGTTCCAGAAACGAGCAGTGCTTCATCCCTTCACAGCTCATACACACACATGGTCAAACCAAAGCCTGCACTTAAACACACATTTGTCAGATTTGTCAACAGCTAAGCTGACATGYAGAAATGAGCTCCTCACCAAAAATSAACAACRCATCTCTTGCAGTAACTRGGATATAAAACRTACTTTGTCCCTTTGAATTTTCTCAAGCATGTCCAGGTCAGTGGTGTCAGARATGCCTCCATGAATAACAAGAACTTTCTGATCAATCAGGGTGGCCAGGGGCAGCCAGCAGAAGACATTCTGGAACATCCTCAAGATTTTTTTCCCATGCACCTAAGAGGACAGGGCAGAGAATATGAAGCATCCAGTCTTCTAAATGCATGTCTCATATGGTAGAGGAAACACAAACATAGGCTTACCATGTATTTCTGCATYACCTCCTTGGTGAAACCATAGCTAAAGGAACAGGAGAAAGGAAGCTCAGTGGGATTGTGCACAACACCCTCAACATTGTGCTCAGCCCCACACAGAAGCCGTACCGTAAATTCACCATGTGATCCTCGTGGTTGCCRCGGTTGAGATGAACCTCCTTGGGATAGATCAGGAGGAAGGTAAAGAGGATAATMAGGATCTCGAGGGACTGCTTGCCTCTGTCTACAAAGTCCCCGTTGAACACGTAGGACTTGGAAGGGGAAGGAAGGCCATTCTGGAAAAGMAAGGAACAGGCAGATGTTACCAGAGAGACCTCCCCATGGTCCCCATGTGCCTCCCCCAACAGCTGCACCATCTCTCTCCTGTCTCAGGTTACAACAGACCCTCATTCATATTTATCCTGTGGGCCTGGAGTAGTGACACCTGGCAGTCACGAAGGGTTGTAATTAGCATCAGCACTAGAAAAATACCCTGTGRCACTTGTAAAATGGACATGGATATCAGATTTCCAAGTCAGCAAGGGCATAAGCTTTTGATTTGTGAAGCCATGTAAAGCCAATCAGATTGACTTGGAGAATTGCACATGAATGGCCCAATGTTGCAAACTCTTCTCAATATGACCCATGGGATACCCGCTGCAAGGCCTGGACAGCCTTCCTCTCCAAATTTGGTGCCTACCTTGTAAAAAATGAGGAACAAGTCATCCAGCTGGCCATGCAAGTCTCCTAACAGGCACAAAGAGACAAGTCACAATACATTAACGTTGAACTTAAAAAAACACCCACTAATTACTTCCCAAATCCTCTATCCTTTATAAATAAATGAAACCTGAAATACTTTGGGAAGTGCAAGCCTAGAGGAAAAGGACTCAATGTAAGGCTTGAGCTSAAGTCTGRGAAAGACAGCAAAAACSTTACACCRTCTGCTRAGGACTGATTTCAACRTTTGTTCATTTGTCTTTTGTAATGRTACAACATGGCACAAGATAATCATTACATGAGAGAAAGCTTTGCATTCAAAATAATGCAAGTCTAATTCTCATTTAACATGATATTGAAGAGAGGTTTGTTTTCCAGAAGCTGACTGCATGTAAAAGTCTGCTCTAAATGTGTTTTTCAGAAATAGCTCAACGTGTTAACATTTGTCAGAGTAGGACAAAAATAAAAGGCTTTGTCTCAAATTTACTTATAGGAGGAAAAGATGCAGTAGCATTCTGGATCCGCATGCATGTGCTGCTGCTCATCCAGAACAGCTCCAGGATCTTAGTGTTTAAATAATGCCAGAGCACAAAACAGGTCACAAGAATACAAAATTTTGAGACCAGTCCTCAACTGGGTGCTGTTCCTGTCGTATAATAAAATTACTCCAAGTTCAGGGTGAGAGAAAAAAGACCACCGGAGTATTTCAGACAGACCCACTTGCTTCTCAACGCATGACACAGACAATATTTGTATTCCATGTTGAGTACCCCGTGGAGCATCTCACTATCATTTTCCCTCCATCCCACCCTCCCATCTGAGAATTCCACCCTGCCAGGGACGCACCACACACGGTGACCTCCTCGCTGTAGCAAGTGGAGACATGGCTGATGTTTGGCAACTGCTTGAGGTGCTTCCTGGTCTCGTGCAGGAGTTGTAAGACATAGCGAGCGTGGAGGTACTATCAGAAGAAAGTGAAAGGATTAAAGCAGGAGATCACAGGCCTCTGAGCAGCCCCACTCTGTCTGCAAAGACCCCACAAGGACAGTCTGGATGGCAGAAACTCTCCCTGGGATGGCACTCTGTGCTGACCTATGGGCTTACAAACCAGACAAGGAAAACACTGGGAAAAGAGCAGAATGGAAGTGACKTGCCCAAAGCAGCCTTGCCTCAGCACCAGTAGGGCTGGCCAGGGAGCCCTAAAGCCTCCAGCCCACACCACCTCCAGGAGCAGCAGAAATTCCAGCCCRATATCACAGGTAAGAAGTTGCTCCTCTACGTCTTCCTTAGCTTTTCCACACTGAACCAGGCTATGAGTTTGTGTGTACTGCASTGATACATAGCTTCAAAGTCAGGGCACAGACATTTAATACAGTCAAGATGTGAGACACCTTGGGTTTAGAAGTCTTCTTTGGAGCAAGGGTTGTTTTGGTCTATTTTGCAGTTCAGCACATAAACTGAGGGATGGCAGAACACTGCAGTTGTACGAAGGCTTGTTTTGTTACTGCTGAAGTGGCACTCAACTTCCTCATCAAAAACCTCGCAGTAGTCCAAGTTGCATGATACAAAACATTGTAAACTGGCTGTTTMCCTCTGGGCCATCCTACACTAGTCTACAAACTGATAAATATGACCCCAAAATGTAGATGACAAGTTGCAACTTGAGCTGTTGTTGATTTTTTCATTTAAAAATTAAATTCAGGTTACTACAGGTACACCCTGATGTCAAGTGATCAGTTTTGTCAGAAGTGMATTTTCAGAAAGAAAAGCACTTCTATGGCAGGAGGAAATAGTATATGATTTCCACTCCGCTTTGTTTATCATCCAGCAAGCTTGTTAGAGTCCAGCCAACTGAACTTGTTAGGAAGGCTAAGGCCAAAATATCTATCATACACAAGTGAAAAAAGGGGAAAGTGTGGTACCTTCTGGGATCCTTACTTGTTTCTGTTTGAATGCTTCCAGCAAGGCTGTGGCATGATCAGGGAGGAGTGGGAAAGASAGACGGGGTCCGGTGTAGGACTCTGGCACCTCTATGGATTCATAGTCACAATATTTCTCCAGCTCTGCCTCTTTGTAACTTTCCCCACTTACGAACATGCGACTGATAAAATCCCCTGGACAGCAGATAAGTGTATTTGATTTGGGGAAAAAAAAAAAAAAAAAGGGGGAAGAAAAGAAGAAACAGTCAAAAAAAAAAGAACTCAGGAGCAATGGCACCCACTGAAGCTTGGTCCCAGCTTGACTGCTACAGAACTCGCAGCGGAGGAAGGGCTGCAGGGACAAATACTCCTGTGCAGTGTACATCATTCTGTGATTCCATGAAAACATACTGAACTTTTATGCCTTCTTCCAACTCATAAGAGCAGGAATTGCCCCACATCCCCCTTGGCAGCTCTGAGAGTCTCCAGACAATTCATTCCCTACTGCTGATGCTATTGCTCTTGAGACTTTTGGCCATATTGGCCATCCTGAAGATTGCCCAGCACTGGGCAGTGAATAATGCAGGGTGCTGCCTTTAGTGCACTGGTACTGTATCTACAAATGGCACACAAACTTACTTTCTTTGCTGCTGCTTGGTGTGAACTGGTCCATGAGGTAACTGAAGAAGTTGTGAAGCTGCAAGAAGAGGGAGAGCCCATCATTCACCCCAGAATGAAATTCAACAGAGTAGCAACTTATGATATTTTTATAAGTATTATGTCTGCTCTTCCCATGCTGTTTGGTATGTGCAGCAACTCCCTTTGTACCAGTTTAAGTTTTGATTATCTTGAGATCAAGTCAAAACAGCAGCTTTACCTTCAGCCGCAGGCAGGAGTGCACTATGAGCCCTTCTGCTCCTCAAGAGCAAGGCAGCCACGTAAGAGAATTTTAGCCAAAGTTAAAGCATAACAAGCCAACTAGGCTTGCCTATTCTGTGCAGGGTCCAGAAAAACTCGTTATATGGCTCTTATGGATTTCTTTTGAGGTTCATTATTGCGTATTTTATGCAACACAAGGAGGCAGAGAATCAATAGACTAAAAAAAGCAGGAAACCCAGTCCTTGGCCCACTGAGGCACTTAGAGTTTGCAGCCAGGAGCCAGAACTGAGCAAGCCTGGCACAGAAAGCACCTTCCCATGTGTTTTCCTACCTGCTCCTTTCCTTGGCASCATACCTTGATCTGATCCTGCTCACAGGCATACTCGATGGATTGAAAGATTCTCCAGGTGCAGCGGCGGCGCATTTCCAGACGAGCCATGTAGCGCCGATACCACTGCTGGATCAAGACAGCTGCCTTGAAAGCTGGGGGACAAGAACAGAACCAAGTTGCATAGCTGCACTGGCTGCAGTTGAGCTACCCTGCTATTGCTCCTTCCCCAGCCCTGAAAATTGAAGAGGAGCCTCWCCTTTTCAGGAATTGTACTCTCGTGCCTAAGGGCAAAAAACTGTCTGTATCTTTTCACCATATTGCAAGAGACCTGACCCTGCCTGACCAGAAACCTCTGAAGCACTTCTATCCATTGCTGCTGGCTCCTCAGCATGACATTAACAACAGATTATTAGGGCCTWAAAGTCCTAACATGTTGTTCAGTATTCTTAGACAATATCTGCCCTTTCTACCCACCTTGATMATTTTTATGTTCATCTTACTACTTCTAGGTGCTGGGGCTTCAGGAAACCAGAAGTTTAACTGAGGCCACTCAAAGAGTTGGGGCAAGACAGGAAACCAAGTTCCCTTCTAGGACCTTAAAAGCACRGGGATTTTCTCTCTCGTTTATGACAAAAACCTCAGCTTTTTCAGTTCTGAAAGCAGTTCAGAAGAACTGTATTGCAGCATAAATGTCAACATACCATTACCTTGCAATAAAATAAAGGCAAAATTACACCTACACTGTAAAAAGGGAAGCAGAACTTGAGCCACTTAATGACAGAAAGCACAAAACGCCAGAATTTCCAGGTATCTGTTTGTGGTTCAGTCCACAGGCAGCACTGACACCAGGTGCCTCCCACCAAATTATGGTTATCTGCCCTTGCATCTTGAAAATACAGTCTCTGTACTCTCCCAATTCTAGTGTCTTCCCTTTACAGATTATTTCACTTGGGATGTGTACATATTTCAAGCAAAGTACATGGGTGCAATTTAACATATCCTTTTGCAAATGCTGCCACAGAATTTTATGTACCTCTAGAATGTCTCAATCACCTTAGCTACCTTGACCCCTCTTGCATCAACCCTGCTACATGGCATCTCTTCAGTTTAGGCTGTGTCCCTTCCTGTTCCTTTCTGGAGCCCAGCCCTTGAGCCTTATGCTTAAAACATCTTCTAACATTGCTTCTCTGTCATTTTTAGCTGAGGGAGGAAAGGATAATTGCTGTATCCACAGGCTAGCTTCAAAATCCAAGGGAAACAGCAGAGTTAGGGAACTAGCCCTGCTGCAGAAGGTACATTCCCTTGCCACATTCACCAAAAACAGGGAGAGCAATGGGAGGTGGGTGTGAGAGAATCTTCATTAAAAAGAGGAAAATTCACCACCCCTTCCAAAAAAAGGTGCTATTTGTTGGCAAGAGACAATGAGATCATATTAAATCAATAAGCTTGCATAAATTATATAACATAAACCACCCTCCATGTATTTCAGCAGGAAACAGTGATTTTTCAATGGCTTAGGTATTAAAAATAATAACCCTTATAAATTACGGTTCTGTTTCAGCACTGAAAACTGCAGAGCATAAGAAAGCAACATCTACAGCTGCTGTTCAGCAGGGAACTGAGACACCAAGTCACAGGCAASAAGGTAAGATTTGGCAAGCCTTAATTCAAGAATAACTTCTGTATTTTTTGCCTTTTCTCTTGCTGACCAAGTGCTTACTGATCTGATGGGCTTTGAAAAAATTCCTAGTGAGGACTCCACACATCCCAGTGAAAAACCAATTCTTTAAAAARGTAAAAATAAAACCCCTGAAAGACATGTTATCAAGTGCACAGTTAACATCTATACCACCTCCCACAGCATTTAAGCACCAGATAGGCAATGCAAGGGTTTTTACACTGCTTTTACAGAGACTGACTCTGCAATTGAAAAAGCCAGATATTCTAATTTAGCATCTTGCCTGGGTGAGTTATACCTGGCATGTTTGTATCAGTTTAAGCAAAAAGTACTCAACAAAGAAGAGCAAGTTTTGTGCACATTTTATGATGAACCAAATATCATGGTATAAGTAGCATCATTCAAACCAAACTTCACTCAAAGGCAGAGCCAGTTTAACAGCTCTTCTCCTACATTTTCCATTGGGARCAGCCATCAGACCTTGTACAGGGAGCATAGGACAGATATCTGACACATAGCATTTGGGTGGGAAGTCCTAAGCAGCTGCCTCTCTGCAGATGGCAAATCTGAAGGGTGTGGAGAACCAATGCAAGAAATTCAAAGGGGTTTTACTGCTGTGGGAAACGGTTGCTGGGGTATCAGAAGCAACGAAAGGTTTCAAGTAAACATCTAGTATTATATTACACTTGATCATCTTCAAATAACCCTGAACTTGTTGGGGAAATCCATGGATCTCTGATGCTATGGGTGACAGGTAAGTCTAACTTAAATAAGAGGTGTTTTTTTCAACAGTGTACAGTAACAAATAGAAAAGTCTGAGTCACAACCTTATCCCCACTTTCCTTCCCTATTTTCTTTTCTGAGTGCTTGCAAAAAGTTTTCCTTATTCTTCTGATCTGCCAATGGTCATGACTGCACAATTCAAACAAAGAAAGGGATGCCCAGAGAAGGGCAATGAGGCTGGTGAAGGGTCTGCAACACAAGCCCTGTGAAGAACAGGGCTTCTTGCATTCAGTGCCATCTCCCAACAGTACATGCAGGAACAAATAAGAAAATATTACTTTTCAAAGAATCACTCACCATTTTCAGACTTCTGCAGGGAATCCTTGTACTTGACCTTTATAGAACTACCAGATCCCATGTTCTCCARCCAATGCTCCAGCGTTGCAGACTGGTCCAATATCACCAAAACCACAAAAGAGATGCAGGGAAGACCATTTGGTCAGAATCCAAACAGTTGCAACATGTCCCACAGCGCCAAAAAGCTACAATTAAATACATTAACACTTAATATCAATGATCCTATCTTGAGCCCATGTACATTTTGACTATCAGATTTCTCCAGCTACTTCCAGACAATCAAATGAGGATTCCTCTCGCACTGCTTCAAATTTCAAGTGAGCTATGTAAATAGGAATTAATTAAACATTCTTGCTCCTTGCATAAAAATAGATACTGTCATTTTTGGCAAACAAGTAAAAAGCTCTTCAGTACTGATCAGGGACAATAAAAATGTCATTAAGAAGCAGTATGTGCAGACAATTATTCTTGCATGTAGTCCTCTGTGAAGGATAACTCACTGTGAGGCATGAACACACACTGTAATTACTCTATTTGTGGTACCACAGGTAGCAGGAAGTTAAGTCTAAAATAACAATTAGCTATCCAAGGAAAATAACCAGCTTTGTTAAACACTGCTTTCCTCCATCTGAAGCATCTGCTCAAGTGTGGGAGCATATTATGCCATCAATTGCCAGTATAAAAGGATGGACAGCCAGACTTTGGTAAGGTCATTGCTGTGGGAAGCTCTGGTCAGGGCAAACAGATCCTATTGTAAGATTTGGGCAAACTCTGAACACTCTGACTTAGAGAATAACCAGAATTTCACAGGAAACTTTCCTCTAAAAAAAAAAAAAAAACAGTCACAGCTAGTGCCAAAGCAGCCCCAGGCTGTATTGCTGTTGAGTTCTCTCACCTGAAATTCAGAGAGAGGAAAGCTAAGAAATGGAGGGAAGGAAATAAAAACCTGTAAAAATGTTAAGACTGGTGTTTGCAGGAGAAGAYAGCTCAAAGGATTTTGAAGGGTTGGGACAGCGTGACTACAGAGGCACTTCTCCCCCAGAGAAGGAAATGTCCTCCTCCTTTCCTCACTTCCGGCAATGCTTTTGCCTCCTTCAATCTCTTTCCACCTAACCCACGTCTTTCTCTCAAAATAGCTCAGATCTCCACAATCACTAATTGAAGGAGCATGTCTGGTGTTGTGTAAGGTGAGCGTTCCCTGTTTGCTCAGGAAGGCCAGCCCTGCTCAGCAACACTGCACCAGAGGGAGGTCCCAAGGCAGAGGAAATGTTGGAACTCTGTCCCCCTTGCCCAGGATTCCCAATTGYACAATGGCATCCTCCCAACAACTGAGTGTCACAACAGGATCACCACAATGCTCTCAGCAAAACACCTACACTCTTGCTTTATTCTAACAACATCATATCAATGTCAAAAACAGCCTGAAATCACTTCTCAGTCTTGGTGCTCAAATCATGCAGGTACTCTGACAACTTTTCAGATTATTAACAGATCCAAGGGACAAATGCACACAAAACTCAGCACTTAAGGCTCTTGTTTGTAACCTCCTGTACCACGCAAATCACAATTCAGGGAAAAAGAACTTTTCAAGCTCATAACTTTTGAGCATMGACTTATAACTCCTATCTGGCCTATCCAAAAAGAAATTTCATTTTAATAGCATGGATCTGAGGATATCAGCAAATTTTAGCTATCCAGTGAAGCAATGAGAGGAATGGTTTGCTCTGCACTGGCCCCTTATCCAGGAACTAGAATACTTCTAGGTTACTTCTAAAACTATGAATAACAAATTTGAAGCAAACACTCAAGTACATTGTTTAGTACTTCRCTTGCTGAGGATGTGTTCAGAAAACCATCTGCCTGTTTGGATAAAATGTGACCTTGGATTTGAGGTCACATTTGGCAACAAATTTTTTCCTTTTATTTCCTTCTCTCCCTGCAAAACAAACAGACATTTATTATCTGGGCAGTTCTTTTTTAAACAGATTTCTGGCATCCATAGCGTGGGATGGCATAGTATTAGTGTGCCCTATTTACCATATGAACAAGCTTATCAACAGGTCCCTCCCAAGTAGTTCCTGAAGCCATGAACTTGGTCACTTWGCTGCCCTCAGATTTTTGTGTGGGGTACAACCTGAGCAAAGGAGCTCACAGGAGTAAATCTGGACTCAAACCTGTTCCTATGCTGGAAGGAGTGAGGAAGAWATGGAACCAGTCCAACTGCTCAGCACCTCCGAGCTTTCCTCAGCCACCCTGCAGTGACATCCCTTCCTAAATTCTTGTACCTAACAAAGAGAAGGAGAGCAGAGACCCATAAAGACAGCCTCAAAGATTGGATGGACTGACCAGCAGCATCACTGCAGGAACAGGTTGTATTAAACAACCAGGTGAGAAACATAATAGTTGCAGGAAACAGTGAGCTACCAACTGCTCCTTCCTCATCTTGCTTTAATGGTCACCATTCCTCTSCTGCAGAGCTATTGACCTTCTCTCTGGTACAATTAGGAACCTCTGGAACAGGTTTTCCTCATGCCTTTTTCGCAGCAGTCTGTTCCTGGTAGGTGCCATGACACAGAGCACCCGCCAGCAAACACTCTCATCCTGTAAAGGTAGGTGAGAAAAGCCACTGCACACACTTAAAYCATGGCAGGATTAAACCACTAGCCAAAAAACCATGGACTCTAGAGCCCCACATGGACACAGACAACCAGTGGAACCCAATGTTCAGGGCCCCAGGAGAAGGCCACAGACACACAGAGAAGATGGACATTMCCAGATCACCAGAGGTAATGCTCCAGACAGGAAAAACACCTAACAGCCGACTCCATGCACTTCCTGAGCCATTGAATAACTCATTTCTTGCAGCTCTTCAAACACAAGCAGAAAACTTCTGCAATAATGCCATCAAGTACCCCATAAAAKTCAGGCAAGGCAACCTTGCACAAATCACCTCAAAACACAACGAAGACTAGGTAAATTTCCTGGCTTAGCCTAATTATTTTAACTTCTCCAAAACCAAAGCAAGGGACAGCATTCTGAAGCAAATCCTGCACACTCTGTGATCAAAATCTATGCAGAATCTGGTGCTCAACCCACAGGACCTGCCAGAAACACCACAGCTAATGTGAAGCTTGCTCCTACGAAAGGTGACACTTGATGCATCATGAAGAAGATTGCCATTAACCTGACAGTTTTATAGACAGTGCAGCAACTGAGGGAACAGATGAGCAGAATATGGAAGGCAACAAGAAGATATCAGACTAGAAAATTTATTAGGGAAAAGCCTAGAAGAGATATTGGAGGGGGGAAACAAATTTTAGGTTATGCTAAAAGAAAAACAGCAAGATTTAAAATGCTACAGATGAATTAAAAAAAAAACCCAAGTATTTCTTTCAAGAATGAATACACTAGCCAGTACTAGGGAAAGCAATGATCCTACATTGCCCCCGAGAGTAAATACCGATARACAGCCCACGTGCACCTCASACTCAACAACACAACTCATACCTCYAAACAAGATTATGAAGCTTATTCTATTTCAAACGTGCACCCACACACAGTTATTGCAGGGCCAAAAATGATAATTTCAGATACAAAACTCCCAAATGTTGTTTTATACACCTTGSCATACAAAAAGGTTATTTGATCTCCAACTATAAGCTACTTCTGAATACAAAAACCCTGTTGCAAAAAAATAAAAAGGCAACTTACCTTGCCAAGTCCTAATGTACTGATTCACTGAGATGAACACAACAGAAGCTCTTCACTGGATAAATTTTGCTTGTATTCAGTACCCAAATGATCAMTGATATCTCATGTGATTCATTTTGCAGATGCAAAAACTCCTCCTAGGAATCCAAATAATCAATTAAGATGTTATCTTGGGCACGCAGCAGGACAGACCATGCGTTTGTGCACGTGCAGCCCAGAGCTGGTGCAGACCCTTTATTTACTGCCCAGTTAGGAGCAGCCTTAAGAATCCTCTACCATGTGATGCTTAATAAAGGCTCCAGATCTGAACTGGATTAGGATTACTGAAGGGATTATGAATAAGAAATACAGCATGTTGGCCTCTCTCATCCTAAGAGGCAGCTCTTGCACATTTTCAAGCTGCCTTTCACTAGCTACAAACTTCTGGGGGAAAAATAATTCAAGGTTTCACCCCTTATCTATGTTGGGCTGAAAAAAATGTTTGGGGCTTTGTAGCTAGGGAATCTCTAGTGGAGAAAGGAAGGGATGTGAAAAAAAGCAAGGATCACTTACCTCACTTCTGTTTTATTACTTCACAATTGCAGGGCTTAAAGCAGAAAAATCACTGTACTTTCCAGTCTTTTAAAAGTGTACACAAAAAGCAGGTGATGACAATAAAATCACACAGCTGGAGAAATACCTTCAGGATCTTCTGGTCCAGCCTTTCTTGGCAAAAATACCCACAAAACACCCAAACCTACCAAAAAATGCAACCAGTGCTACATTTTAATATTTTCAGTATTAAGATGATTTTATTTAAAGTATTGACAACCCCATCTYTGCATTTTTATCCAATTTCAATTTGTATCACAACTACCTTAGCTATTCACAGGTTAAATTATGTAATTTGTAAATTCACCACTTCATTAGTATTTATAGTTTTAGTTTAATGACAAGCTAAGATCAGGAAGTTATATATCATTTCAGTTACCAAAAATACATTCAAGGTGGGAGAAAGATTTGAATTTGTTGACAAGGAGCATCTTGAGGTGTTTGTTACCACAGAAAATRCAAGGCTTTCAGAAAAGTAATTTATAAGGGAAAAAATGTACATTCCTTGCTTGTTTAAACCTCATAACCCCAAACAGCTGCTAAGCCACAAACATAATAACAGAAGCAAATCATTTCCAGAATATTGATAGATACTACCAACTTGTGCATTCCAGATTGTTTGTACACATGGAAACAAAGAAATTTGGTTGAATTTCTATATTCAGTGAGCATCTGAGCACACCCCTGCCAGAGGATAATCAGCCTAATGCTGCAGAGGTCAGGGTGACTACACAAAGCCACACCTGTAAGGATCCTGYTGTTGTGGGTGGCTGTTACTTAAAAAAAACTGGTGGTATCACAAATCAGTGCCTACTCTGTGAATTAAAGCAATGGCATTCTGGAATCTCAAAGATGGTGACCATTTGAAAATCCTCCTCCAGRAGCTCTTTTTCAAATGTATCTTCTGGCATCTGACTGCTGTACCTTTCTGTCTAAACTGGGTCAAGGCAAAGCCTGCAGCACATTGATCCAGGCAGGAGGAGAGGATGCAGGTAAGTGGGTTATGAGACTCAGCACAAGGAGATAAAGAAGCTGCAGAAGGTGCTCCCAGAGCAGTTTGCATAACAGTGCACACTCACTGCAGCCAGCATGGCATGGATCCAGAAATGGTGCTCTGCCACACCTTCTCAAAGGTGACATTTTGTCAGTGAAGAAGGGCACCTGTCAGCTTTATTTCAAGCTATCCATTGGTCTGGACTCTTCAAATCCCTCTGTATTTGTTGAGTAACCTAAGTGCCCAAACTCAATACACAGCACAACCTGACAGAAAAGCCACTGCTCTGCACTGTAAAACAAGATGTTAACTTTTACTGCARGCAACTTGATCTGAATGCAGAAAACCAAATACAACCCTTCTTTAACCTCACTGCTACCCAACTCAATCTTCTCCCATCTACCAGCACAAAAGTGCATTACCACATTTTGTATACCGGCTCCTGATTTCTAATAAAATAATTTTAGTTTAGAGCTCTGCATGCTGCTCACTGCTGCATCTGGCCCTGCTAAGCCCAAGATCAACAACACCTCACAGAGAAGGGAAAAGCATGACCCCACAAGCCTCCATAAATCAAGCTATCAGCTGAATATTTTTATGTTCAGATCCACAGGCCATGTAGATAACAAAATGTATTTATTAATCAGCACAGAAATACACTGCAGTTACACAACTCTTAGCAAAAATAGCAGAAGCCATTTTTACCCATCAACATCTACTCGAGCATCTAATTCCAATACGTTTCAAACTTCCATTACAGGTCATTAACAGAAGAACCTATAACACTTCAAAGAGTTAAATCACTGTTTGCTGAAAGGTTCACATTATTAATGAACCAAACCCACTGTAGTGCTCCAGGAGTGATTTTAAAAGCATGTTAGTCTTGAACAGCTCCAGCTTCTTACTCAGTGTGTTCAACTAGAAAAATAAGCAAGACAAAACAAGTTTGCACAAAGTTAAGGAAAAAACCAAACTACACAGTCTCTAGAAATAATTACTCTTGTCTGACAGAGCTGGTACAAAAAATAGTAGCAGTAACAGTTTYTAAAAAACCCTGTTTAAACTGGAATACAGCTTCTTGTGCTCCTGCCATGGCCACGCAACCAGTTTCTTGGCATAGAAATTATAACAATATGTCTCTGAAGCTGTCCCATGAAGCCCCTTGTGAGCTCAGGAACTTGGATTTATTCTGCGCATTCACTGGACAAAGCCCCCCAAGGATGCTGCTCACATTCAGTCACCAGTGAGCTGCTGTTGCAAACAAAGCTTGATTTTTCTTGGTGTTAAGTGCACCATCCCCTCCTGCTAGGATTCAGTTCCCTGTGGCAGGGCTTTCCATCATCCACCTAGAGACAAACAAGTSCAGTAGTGGGGAGTGGTAAAAAGAACCAACACATTGCCAGAGSGAACCTCCACCTTTAGACTGGAACACCTATCCCTTCCTCTCTGAGCAAAACTCTTCCTAAGATTATGTCCAAGAGTTTCACTGGAACAGTCAATATTTAACTACCTCTAAAACAACAAGGAGAAGTGTTTATYCAAGGACAATAAACAAGCAGAATCAGGAATTCCGAGTAAGTCACTGGAGTGCCACTGCAATGCTTTGTCCCTCAGTGACTCTGCAGCTGAAATGGTTGGTTAAGTACCATGTCACTCACATCTCTGCTGCTTTCCACTCTTCACTCCTCATTTCTCATCCACGTCTGGTACTGATCTGGAAACGCAGCGCTCATGACTGTGGTGTACACCGTGTCACTAGCAGGGAAAGAGGAACAGACTGAGGCAGTGACACTGCACAGGCAGGAAGATCAATTTAGCTAGCCAGCAAAGCAGCAGCACACATTTTGGTGAGAACAAGTACTCTGCTGAGGTACACAACAGTTAGGAAAAAAACCCAATGGCACTAATTTTTAGTGTTGCTCCCCATTCAGCACAACAGAGGAACTGTATTTCCACATCCTTTTCATCACTGTATTAAACAATTGGTACTGTRTCCATGTCACAGTTGAGAAGAGCTTTTGCCTTTCTCCATTTCTCACATGAACAAGGCAGAGGAGAGGTCCTGGCATTAATTTGGACAAAGGCATTGCCAAGCTTCAGTGAAAATGGCTGATGCAGAAAATACACTGAGCTCCATGAAAAAATAAACCAAAACATGATACCCTGCAAAAGTGCAGTTTCTGGAACAGAATAACAGTATACTGAAATAAATCTGTTGGAAACCCAGTAAATAGCATCTAAAAGATTTATCCCATTTACTGTATTACACTTCCATCAGAGCTGTATCAGATCATGCAGAAAAAAAACTGTCAGTGTTAAAAGCAACCCAGAAGTTCCAAAAATAGGTGAAGGACTCAGTGGGACATCCAGGTGTTCCTCCAAAGGAGTAATTTGTTTCATTACTCCAAAGCAACTTCCCATTACCAGACTGAGCCCAATCAAATGTAGTTCCTGGGCTGAAGTGGCACAGCCAAGAGGAAGCATGTTGTGCAAGTGAAAATAGAGGCCATAAATGCAAACCAAAATCTAAGCTGGGACACCACAAAACACTTAGACACCTAAGCAAGATCCTCAGGAGTTTGTGGTTTACTTTCAATTGGCCTGAGGCACAGCAAGAAGCACAGATTGACATCTCTCCATCTAATACTTACTTGTTTAAGACTGGCTTCACTGACAACACCTGTACAGAAAGTTTGAAGAGTTGTCATTTTGGCAGACAAAGAAAGAATTAAAAGACTATTTAGAAACAGCAGTAGGATGACATTATGAAAGGACTAATATAAAGTCAAAGACTTGTCTTGCTTTTTTAACATCAGAYCATTTTACAGAASTACTKTCAAAAAGCCCTCTGAAGAACATTKCAAKTGCCAAAGCTGCCCATGTCTAACACTATCTGCCTGTGTTTGAAATAAGAAACTGCACAAAAATCATGGGATTCACCTCCTACACTCCCCCCTGAACTGCAGAACTGTTACAAAATGCCTACATAGGAACTGAGAAGCATTTTAAACAATTTTCAGTCTTCAACCCCATTAGAGACAGCTGCAGTAAACATTGCTCCTCACCACAAAAGCACAGCTTTTAAATCGCTCACAAAACAGAACTTCTGCTTTGTCAAAGAGCTTGAAATGCAAAGCACAAGGCAGAATTTGAGAAATACCTTAAAGAGTGTATCAAAATTGATGTTGTGCTGTCCTGTAGCATTGAGAGCTTTAATGGCTGCAGTTCTGTGGAAAAGCAACACAGGATCATTAAACACTCATCTGTTCCAAAGGCTACAAAGCACCAACATTAAAAACTTCTCACTTAAGGCCTTTACACTGAAATGCTTGCTTTGGYCTAAAATAACCCCAGTTATGTGACTGGACCTCATTGCACACTGTTGAGGGTCCTGTTAGTATTCCATGGAGGACATASCAAGAAAGAACCTGCCAATCCCTTTTTGCACATTACACAGCCTAAAAATCACATGTAAGCACCTTCCTAATACCATCCAATACTTTTGCACAGWCAATCTAAGTAATTTACCTTCTACCACATTTTTATTTACGAGGAATTTTATGGCCTATGCCTTATCCTTGCATTCTCATTATTTAATGAGAATCACTCCCTCACACTTTCCTGTGTGAATATTACTCTACACTTTGTTTCTTTCAGAGTGGCATTACAAGAACTGAATAAGGACATAACACCTGCTCATACTTCTAACCTTTTGCAAAAATAATTGTCTCCCTGCAGAGCTTCCAACCAATTTACCTGCGATCATCAAAAGGAGGAGGGGTAGTCCAATGATCATAGTTTGTCTCCACACGAAACCACCTGTAACAAGCAGATAAGCAAAAAAAATGTGAATCAACAGGTAATTCATTAAGTCCAACAATCAGTATTGCCAGAAGGAAACTCTGCCTGGTGCAAGCCCGACAGCCCCATGTTGGTACAGGCAGCAGCCTTTACCATCAGCTATGGAACACAGGGATGGCATGGGTGACCTCTGATCTCCTGTTGTAATTATTACCATGAAGTGCCCCAGATAGCTCAAAGTTGTGCCAATAATCCAATCATTCAAAATGGAATGTGAGAAGCAAAAATGAAGTAGTTTTTTTCCTACTTACGCTCCACCTAAGGGATCGAGAGGCCAGAGATCTGCTGGCCCCCTTCTATTCCTCGTTATGACCATGCCTTCTTTGGGTGAGACACCTCCTACAATGTAGTAAACTTCAGCAATGATGGGAATGTCAGCCAGTCTGAGAACAGCTGACTGGAAGTCCTGGGCTTCACTCAGGGTCTAAAGCAAAAAGGAGATGACAGTGAGACTCACCACAGAAACAAGCACTGGGACATCCTCAGAACAAAACAGGTCCAGCTTTTCTCAAAGTGGGAATTGACTCTAAATGCTACTTGAAAATACTAATATAACAACGTATCAGATAGTATAAAATAAGCCCTGGCACAGGTATTCACATCAAGGAGTGCAGCTGTCTTATCTGGTTATGACACAAGTCACAGCCAGCTGAAACAGCCCCTAGGAAGCAAATCTTGGCACATTGTCTCCAGGAACTTTGGCACTGGAGGGTGCCCTCTGAAAGGACCTGAATTGCCTCATTAGTGACAATACAAGGTCAACTCTTAGTTTCTCCTACAAAATCTATTTACTTATTAAAGTGTTAACTTTTCTGTGCAACTGATTCTAATTTACTAAATGTTTAAATACAAATGGCACAACTGTGAAATGTGAGAACAGMTCAGTGCACTTACATCTCGGACAAGCCAGCTGACAGGATAATTTCTATTGAGGAAAGCAGCTATGGCATTTTCCCACCATCTACCACCATCTGGGGGAAAAAAGATAAATTACTATAAATGTAATTTATTTACAGTGAGACAGAGTAGGTGCCTATCAGAACAAGTATCAATATGTTATAGGAAGAAAGCCAACAAGGAGCAAAACATTCATATGAAATATAAACAGACAACATAATTCYAACTGACATTCAGCCACAGCAGCTGAATTAACACCCCTGCTTTTCAGAAAGCATCTCAGACCTGTCATGACAGGAATGATAATCACCTCATTACTCACCTTAATGAAAAATTAAAACAGGAGTAAGTGCACAGAAATAAAACAGCTAAAAAAGAGGTAGTGACAGTGTTTGTGTTACTCAAAAAAATAGAAGTCAAAAACCAGAAGGCCAAGTTTGTTATTATTTATAGACTCACACTTTTCAAACCACCAAAAAAAATCAATCTGCTTGTCACTTGATAGACCTTTACTCTGATTTAGTCATCCTGCTTGCCAGCCATAGTTCATAGGCTCATTTCCCTCAATAAGTAGYTCAGCTGAAATGAACTGAAAACAGCTTTCACTTGTGATAAATCAGCGAGCAGTCAGCAGCAGCCCACGGACAGGASTGCAGCATGTGTGGAGTGAACACAGGACATGGAGAGACACAGGACTTTGGTACACAACATTTCCTCAATCAGGCCTTTGCACCTTAACACTTGCTGTTAAGTGGAAAAGCAGCATCTGTGAGTATCAGCCCAACTAACTACTTTGGTATCAGAAGCAGTGCTAGTAGAAACTATGGAAAGCATTTAGTGGCTCCAACAAGGAAACATGAACAAAGCAAACAAGAATCAAGAGGCACRAGTGCTCCAGACCAGAACCCCTACTCAGAGATAATGGACAGGTGTAACACATGCAGTGAATATTGTTTGCRTATCTGAAAAGTTCAAAAACAGATTGTTCAAAATTGAAGAGAAAAAAATTTATCACCATCACAAGGGAAAAATAAGCATTTTAGATGTTGGTGCTGAGAATACATTATTGCCAGTTCTAACAATCACCTAATAAAGAACAGCAAAGTATCAGCTTCTTAAAAGGAATGAAAAGGGAAAGAAATGGAAAGACAACTTCCCAAGCTTTGAGTTGGACAGAATTGTCATTATCTGTGAAACTGATGGCTTGATAAAAAAGGCAGTGACCCTTCCCTGCCATGCCCACTGCTCCAAGTTTCTGAACTCCCTCTACTACTGGACTTGCTAAACTGCCTTTCCAGCATCTCCAGGCATTCCCTCTAGCCCTGTTGCCTTTCCCCTAGATCTGTCTCATGCTTCTCTTCCCAACTGCCTTATGAAGCCAGACAACAATAGAAGAAGCAGAACCAGGAAAGCAGTCATTTCTTTCCTATCCAAACWGCATTTTGTTCTCTCAGCCCTCTACTCTGCCATTTCTAATGGTGTCTCTTGACYAGACCACATCAATTGGTCTTTTACAGCTTTGCCAAGGCTTTCCCCATTCTTTGACACTTTCAGCTCAGGTGACACTGCTGACAAATATCTTCTGCAAAGCAGCCAAAACCAGGGCAGCATATGTGCTTTCAATCCCTGAGGGCAAAGCAAGGCATTCCACTGCAGATGCTTCCTGGCAACCTTAACCTTATTATTCCCTCTAACAGAAAAAGACCGGGCAACATTCAACAAAAAGAACACACATAACATGTCCTGTGGAAGACATTTCCTTCACCTCGTTCATCCCCAGAGATGGTGAATTTGTGAGGGCTTTGCCCAGTCCATAAGCCAACATAACCAAGAAAGGTGGTGCCTTGGTACGCTACCTGAAACCAGGAAAGAGAGAGCAGTTCAGCATTCCAGAACACAACACAGTAGAAACCTGCATCCTGTATTTGTTTTACAGCTTTTGTACTTGAATTACTGTAAAATGCTGTGCTTTCAGTTATACTAAAACATGCTGAGTAAATTATAAAGGGACTCTCAGGCCTCAAAGTCACTGCTTTCATTTCATGACTGCTACCTGACTTTTACTCAAGTCAACAAACAGCAAGTTTTCCATTTGCAAAATGGACTAATTAACATGGAAAAAAAATCAGACTAACTAAACTGCACTAACAACTAATTGTTTTTTTTCAAATCTTATACTAAAAACATATTTATTGGTCACACAAATTCACATGGTCAAAAAAAAAGCCTTAGAATTTGTTCATGCCAAAATCATCTCTCTGCCATATTTCCTAACTTCTTTTTCAGCATCTTGACATTTCATTCTTTCAACATGTCTTAGAAATAATGATCTGCAATACTAGATTAAGCTGTCCTATTTTTTCCAGTCCATCACCATATACAAGAGATCCAAAAAGCAAAGAAAATCAGCATTCACGCCACACTCCTGAAGCATAACTGCTGCTCTAATAATGCAGTCTATTTGGGATAGGAACCACATTCCAACATGGAATTCCTACCAAAATAACTGACTAAGCCACGACAGGACTATGTCATTCTTCAAGGAACACCCCCCAGCCATACCAACTCTAGATCATACCTGCCCAYCCTTTAGAAACTGCACATCAATGGTGATCTTGCGCAATAGATCCACAAAAGCATAATCCAGGTTTCGACCGTGGTAAATGTTTCCTYTGTCATCCTGAGCCACAATGCTTGTACAGAACCTGCAAASAGAACAGGGCAAGGAATGACTGAAMAAGAGATGTGACAGTGCTTTCACTATTCTAGCTTTCAGCAGAAGCTACAGAGCAGAGCTTTCAGAAGCTACAGAGCAGTCAGAAAGCAGCACTTGCACTCAGGAAATATGTCATTGTTTCCTTTCACTTTTCTAAGTCATCATGAAAAGCTGACTTCTAAAAGCATTTCCCTTTCTGCATTTCTATTTAATAATTTCATTTCCATTTCAACTCTTTATAGCTTTAATCACAAGTATAGAASTTCAAATTAAGTCCCATCAATGAAACTGGAAAACATTGGCTGTGCAAGTATCAGCCATTTCAATCACAGAGTATTCTCTAGAACASAAAGTATGCTCCAAATCCTTGAGTAACAAGCTCAGTTTCATTAAAACAGGCTTTTTCATGTGTAATATTGCATTAGCAGGGAATTAACAATTTATTTGCACTATAGCTAAGTGTTGGTCATTTCAGTGATGCATTCAAAGATATGAAGGTAAAAAATTGGTCAGACAAGAAGGCTATTCCCACTTGCGGGGGGTTTTTAGTATCCAAGCCAACAAATTGAATTTGAGGGGCCTTATTATGCCTATGTGTAAAAGTTATGCTCTACAAAACACTAAAGAGCCAGCATTTAAATGTGTCATATCCAGTATTAGTCCTTACTAAAAAAGAGACTATTAACTAAGTACCACACATTTAGAAAAAAAAAATCCAAATGCAAACAAGAGGCCACATGCCTTGATATTTGCTGAAACTGATATGAAAAAAAATTTTAGGATCCCCAGAAGCAACACTAAGTGTTGATTATTCTCTTTCATTATGTTTCTAGGGCAAAAAAGATACAATGAAACCAAGTATTTTTTTTCGCTGAGATTTCATTTGCTGTYATAAACATACTAGGGTCACTTTGCATCGTTCAGATCAGGAAGTGACATTACACAGCCACTGTAAACCTTCAGCCAGAAAATGTTTAGTAGTAATTATATCTCAGACAAAAGAGTGACCAACTAATTCTTCTAAYATCCCTTYAGGCAATTTTTAAKTAACRGAGAAYATTAYATCATCTTYAAAGATAACAGATCTCAACTACTTTTGAATGAACATACCATACCAGTGAAAATGATTTTTGGATTTTAACATATTTATATAGATATATGTACAAAACCGTGACAGCTGGATATTACTTGTACTACACAACAGGAAACATAACTGTTTCTCATTCCTTTCAGCATCCAAAGTGCCAGAAGAGAATGAAACCTTGCAGCTGAACAGATGAAGTGGTCCAGTGGAACAGTGCCAGTCACCCGGCACCCAGTGCCACCACCCACCCTTCTGTGCATCCTCCCAGGCTGAACCAAAGCTCTGCACCCACCGCACGGGACCCTGTAAGTAACAGCCACTTACGCAGTGGATTCGTAGGCGAAGTTGAGCAGGATTCCATCTCCCAGACTTATTCCCAGYGCTTTGCACATGCCCGCGATCTCCCCCGCGAAGGGCTGCGGCATGAAGGGCTCCAGCTGGGCTGCTATGGGCTGGATGACTTGGTGCACCCATTTGGGCACGCTCTCGCTGCAAGACAAGCCGAGGCGTTAGCCGGAGCAGGACAGCGGCCGTGCAGCTCCCAGGCGGCCCCCCTGCGCCGCTCCATCAGCCCCGCCGGTGCCGCGGCCCGTCCCGCTCCGTGCCCCCTCCCCGCGGCCACCCGGCCCCGCTGCCCCGCCGCACGCACTCGATGACCCGCTGCACGGCGGCGCGCAGGAAGGCGGGCTCGAAGTGCCGCAGCACGGGCAGCCAGCGCTGCTCGGGGGGGCTGTCCAGGCTCACGTTACAGCGCAGCGGGGGCACCAACGCCGCCGCCGCCCCGCACAGCAGCGCCAGCAGCGCCCACGGCCCGCAGCCCATGGCGCACGATGGAGCGGCCCCGCAGACAGCCCGCCCTTCCCCGCGGCGCCGGGAACCGCCCCCGGCCCTGCCCGCCCCGAGGCGTCACCGCCGGCTCGCCCGGAGCCCGCAACCCCGCTCCGGCACACCAGAGACTTGAGGGGACACAACAACCACGGCACCGGCTAACACGTGCATTGCCCCCACGCGTTTCGGCTGGGCCAGGGTGATCAGAGCCAGTCCACAACTAGGACACAGGGGACAAACCCACGCTTGGCAAAGCTGTCAGCATGCTGGCTGACACAGCAAGGCTGTAAACAAGAGGGCAACAGGAAGAGAGAAGAGAGACTAGACACTTGTTCTCAACTCCGAGGGCAAAGAATGACCACTCCCTTCCAGCGTCAGAGGTTAATAGTTTCTGGACACATGCACAAGAAGGTTAATGGCTCAACTGCTCAGCAAAAAAACAAACAAAAAAAACAGTACAAGTGGGGTTTACCCACTACACTTTCCTTCTCCCCTTACCTCTGACTCCAACCCCTGCTCCACACTCCATCCCCACACCACTCCAGCTCCCAGCTACACATGTTCCACCTGACAGCTCACTGCTGTCCTTGCCAAGCACCAATCCCTGCCATTCCCTCAGCAGGAACATAAAATTTGAACACAACATAGCACACGATTAAAAAATCCTACTTGGTCTCTCTCTCCCTAAAGCCTAAGGGTTTTTTCTTCAGGAAGCAATGTGACAACAAAACAAACACAAAATCAACACAATAAAGAATTCAAGTTATTACAAATATGTGTTCAACAAATAGCGAATTACCACATGGGATATGAACATGAACCTGGCTTCCTAAAAAAAGACGGGAAAAAAGCACCCCATCAAATGCATTTCCATTATACTGAGCATGTGACATCTTCTGCACCACAAAGAAATCCATTTCCAACARATTTTGACCAAGTATGGCATAAGTAATTCTCTCAACTTATAAATAATTTATCAACTTCATGAAAACAGGTAGCTGGGGAAGCTACAAAGAGSCCATTAATGGTCCCAGCAGAGGACAAGGCTGAAACACAAGATAAAGCCTAAATAAAGAATCCAGACATTCATGTTACTGTTGTATGTACTTGCCAATGGACAGCAAAACACACCAGAAGACACCACTAAAAAAAAAAAAAAACCATTCCTTTTCCCTCTTGCAGATGATGCTATCTTTGGATTTAAATGGCAACAAAAAAAACCAAAACCATCTCCCAAACATTAATTTTATTTCTGTTTTCTTCCTAAGCCATAATGAAGCTCTTCTTCCTAACTCTTGATCTGAGCTTACCTCCATCACAGATGAATTGGTCTTATTAATTGGTCAAAAGCAGCTGCTGGGACAACAGCTTACTCTGCCTAAACACTCTCCTAAGACAGGCAGGCACTAAAAACATATTCTGTATAGACTGACCAGAATACTTTTCCTGTCCTTAGTCATTAATTGCCTCAAGTAGAACTTTTACCATAAGGTTCTGTATTTTAATACTTGCACATACAAAACCCACTAAGTAAATTACATTAAATAAAAATATAATTGCCTTCTTCCCTAGAATGCTTTATAAACAAATTTAAATCCTCCAAGGATTAAGGCCTCTGTCCTATAGATGTGGTATCCATCATCTTGCAAGAGTTCCATTTGCATTTCTGAACAGATCAGAGCAAAGTCCCTAAGGCACCAGGGTCCTTCTTTCCCTCAGGGTGGTGGTGGGTGGAAATAGGCATTTCCAGGGCTATTTCTTCAGGGGTGATAAAGTTCTCTGCAGCATTTATTTTAACAGCTGTTTCCTCTTTTTCAGCAGCGCATCTCGAAGAGCCAGCTGGACATAAAACAAGAGGGGAATACTCAGGTAAGAAGCAAAACTGACACAACACCATCACATCAGCAACTCTTTTCAATTTCTTTAGCCTCTGATAAAATTACTACGAGCTCATCAGCTCAAAATGAGAGCAGCAATGCCAACACTAACAATGACAGAAACATTGGGGTTATTTAAGCTAAACTCCACACTACAATTAAAGAGCTGAGCATTACTAAATCATATACAATGAGAAACATTACAACCAACTGTTCTTCCACTGACTSATTTCAATCAGAAGAGACGAAAACTGCAGCTGAGAGGTAAGTAAAAATGGTATTTTGTGAACAAGTACTACTAAACTTCTTCTCAAGGGCAAAGTAGGACTTTTTACAAGTGCTATTATTACTCTTAAGACATTGTGGTGGTTCAGGTATGTTTTAACTGGTAAAGGAGCTGGCTCTGGACTAAATGTTTAATTTTATCTTACCACCAAAAAGTGCAGCAGAATGCAGCACCACCATATAGCTATGGTCCTCCAACCCACTCAAAACAGTTACTTTCAAATTATGGTTATCAGCCTGATCCTGTAGCCTAATTTTGGTGGGGAAAGGAAGTACGAATAAATGCTTCTTTTACTGTTCACCAGTTAACATTTGAATTCAAAACACTAATAAGGAATAGGGACAAAATCCTTCARGATGCTTTTGAGAATAACTGAGCCAAGTATGACAGTCAATAGCAGCTTYCTTACAGCACCTGTATTGTTAACTGGCAATCTATTTTGTGTGTTTTGAGAGCTGGTTTCATGTTGTCAGCCTTCACTGAGGGGAGGCAGAATGATACCAAAAATAAACTATAGAAGATATTAGTGCATATCTTCATGTTCAACAGAAAAAGTTCAGATATTYTCTACTGAGTCTACAAACAGTTGCTGTCTTGCCATTCCTAAGGCAAGTAATTGCAAACAAATACACATTATCCAAATGACATAATCCTGGAAAGAAGTCAGTTTGGTCAAGAACTATCTGAACACTAGCACCAAAGAGGATCTAGCAAGAAAAAATGCACACAAACCAACTAGACCACAGGATTATTCTACAAGTTTTTCTTGGAACACATTTGGATGAGATGAGTTTAGTATCACCTGGTAAAACTCCAGACTGGCAAGGGCCTCACCACTGAGAGCAGCATTAGTGTGSAACTACTGTTAAGGTGAAGTATTTTTTTCTAAACAGCCATTTCAGCTAATAAAAAGCATTTGCATCTGTTTTTCAAGAACATTTTAGAAAAGCTATTAGACCACCTCTAGGCCAGGACAGATGAGTCCATGATACAACAGTAACAAGAGAAAGGTTCGAGTACAAACACACTAAAAGCTTTCCCTGCAAAATTTCTCCAAAACGGAGTAACACACATTCATAGGATTATAGACACAGGTCTAATAAAGCCTTTTTTAATTTATACCAAGGAAAGCAAAGCCTTCCTAACCTACAATTGACTCTCCAACATGGCTTGCACCTCAGAGCACATTAGAGAGGAGCTCAACAAGAGCATTCTTCACCACCATCTGCCAAGTAGCTCTTCCTCTGGGACAGGACTTGGGGAAGCCAAGCCACAGGCTTTCCCTGAGTTACAACAGCAGCACCTCAGGACAGAGGATAAACAGCACCACATGTACATAGAAAAAACAGGAAAAAACTCAGTGTGAGTTACTGCTCACACTGCCCCATCCATCTCCTCCATGAAACATTACCTGTTTCTCCCTAAAGGAACGCTTGTTCTTGGTCCGGACACTATGGCTGTATCTCATCATCATGAARTTCTTGTTCTTTTGTTTTTCTTTATTGGAAGAGCTGGCAAATGGGTTGATTCTGGTTTTCTTTTTCACAAATTCTTTTCTGTCTGTTTTTCCAGCCTAAAATAGACAGCACAATAGAATAACAGGGGGTCATTTTCCTTGCTCTACAATCACCATCAGCTGCCTGATGGTAACAGGTTCTATGGCAAATAACAAATCTGGGTTCTGAATGATTCTGTTCATACATACATTCACCTGTGCTCACTCTATTTATTAAGTCAAATTTAGGTCTGTTTGTATTTTCATTGCCACCTGTGACCAGCAAGAGGCTGTTTATTTGCTACAGTCAAGATGCAGTGGCAAAGAACCAAATAAATCATCTCCAAACCCACATGGCAGCTGGGCACCCATCTTAAATATGCAACCCCCACATCTCCTCCTACACCATGCAAACAAACCCCCAGAAAGACAGAACACCCAAGTTCCTCACCTTTGCAGTTGCCAGTCTGGTCTCCTTGTCTGACTTGGGCTTCTTATGCAGATGTTCAATATCTCTGAGTGAAAGCAACTCCCCCCTACACACACAAATTCAATAAAATGTCACCACATAAAACTTCATCTGGCCAGGAAAATAAGATGCTCTCTTCACTCTTTGTCCCTCAGCCATCTTTGACCACAGTCTTACAATGAATTTAGACACAAACACTTGTTCCCTTCMCACCCTTCCTCATGTGTGGGGGATYCATCMCTCAAGTCACCCATTTTTAATTTTCAAGTCCTACTTTTCTCACAAAGTTTAAGAAACACTGGAAATAAAACCATGCAGCTATTGCTGGAAAAAAAAAAAAACCCACCAAAAAAACAAACCAACAAAACCTCTTACACTTATTGATATGAACAAGTCAAACTRACAAGTCTCACACCTTGCACAGGCTTCTCCTGCCTTTTTTTCCCAGAGAAAAGCAAACCCCCAGCCCAGGATCCATTCTAGCTCTGGCTCCTGGTTGTCACCAGGCAACACTGATCAACAGCAGAGCTCTGCACCTTCTTGCAATGAAAAGCTGCATCACATGAGGATAGGTAAGAAAAAGCTCTCAACAGCCCCATATCCTACCTGCCCTCCTCCTCTTCATCATCTATTTCAAGGTATTTCCGCTTTGCAGCTTTGCCAGGTGCAGAATTAAGTTCTTTGGAAAGCTGGGCAAGACGTATTTTCTTGAAGTCTTCCTGAGTTAGCAGTCTGCTTGTACTGACTGCTGCAGCTTTAGCTTTTCTTTCCTCCATGGGCATGTTTTTCACTTCTTCTGCCTTTGGAAAATGAAAAAGTACAAAAGAATCATTCAGAGCCTTGCAAACCACTCCTGTGCCACAATCCATGATCCTTGTCCCCCAAATACACATTGGGTAAGAGCAATATTGTTAGCAAATAGATGTCAGGGTTTTTCCTAGTCTCATATYCAACATTCAGTGCCTGAATAAAGTACAAGCACACCAGATTTTGGGAGTAAAAGCTCTCACCTGATTATCACAGCTCTGAACTATTTAGCCCTGAGAAACAACTCCCCATTCTCCCCTCCCACCCTAAAAACTTCCATCAGCACTTCAGCCTCCCTGCTTCTGCACAGCTCACTCTGAAGGCCTGTGTAGGGATTGAAGAGCAGCCACATCAGTATGATGAGCAAGAGGATCGGGGCTGTAATAAATAAGACTCATTTGTGTTTGGCACAGAAAAGACTTGGAACTCACTACTTTTTGCTGCTCCTCATCTGAGGAGTGGTGCACATCAATCCATTCTCCATCTTCATTGTCCTCCTCACTCAAACTAGCACTTTCCCAGCCATCTGCTCAGGGAAGAAGTACAGAGCAGTTAACACAAACTCAGCTTAACTACCTGGAGTGGCAATAATTGATGCAAGTCAAGGCACAGGACAGCAGCAGATGACATGCACAAACAGCAGCTCCCATGCCCACTTAAAATCTTAGTGACAGTGATTCCCAAACCAGAATTGCTCCAGAAAAAAGGCCAACCTTCCTCTTGGGTTCCTCCCTTTTCATTTTGATCCTCAACCTCCAGTACTTCTGCTCCTGGAATGTAGTCTTTGGCATCCAGTTCTCCATACTCGTGAATCCTGGCTTCCACAGAGGCCTCAGTAGGCTTACCCTGTGTATTAACAAAACACACATTAAAGCAGGCTGCTATTTTAATGCCCACCAATGAATAAAAATACCTTGAGGAACAGGAAGGTGCAATTCCAAAGATGTTTCATCATTTCATGAGGYAGAGTTTAGTGATTCAAGTTGAATGAATCTCAGAAAAAGGCTGAACTTTTGGAACACAATCTAACCATGAGTTAGATAAATTTGAGCTAAGGAAATGTGGAAATAACAGCACAACATGGTCAAAGGCAGCAGGCAGAGGAAGAGCACAAGCTTGGCTCCACCTTCTCCAGGGGATACYGAGACCAACTCTCCATTTGTGAGCATAACACACATCAAACACTTACCCTGAACTTCTTGTGCAACATCTCTGGATTCAGAGTGCGAAACAGGTGGATCAGAGTTCTTGCAGACATCATCACATCTACCCAGGAAAGGAGAGAGTCAGGAAAAAAGCACAACTCTGAGCAAACCAAAAGCCCACCCACATCACCAGCATTACAAAGGCTGTAATTGAAGACCATAAAATACAGGAAAAAAAAAGTTAAAAGTCATATCCATGTAATATTTACTTTTATTTTTATGAGTCTTGTACTGAACAAGGTCGTGGAGCAGATCTTCAGTCATGGCTAAGGGACATCTCGCAGTGATTTCTTTTATTGCATTGATTCTAAAAAAACAGAAAACTAATTATTTTCTCCTAACTGATATTAAGAAAATACCACTTATAGACTGAAACTTGAAGAACCTTACATTTATACATTTAGACAACCTTTGTAGTAAAATGAGAAAACCATCATGAAATTCTCCCAACAAAAAAAAAACAAAGTTGAAGCAGAAATGCTTTTTACTCAAGCAGCTTCTTGAATGCATAGTACAAGTAACAAGAGTAAGCTGCCAGTAATACAAAAGAGTATCTATTTTACCATATTTGGAGTCTGATATTACTCATTCAATTCTCTACCCACCCTACAGTCATGACCTCCCCAGAATTCTTGTCTGTGACAAAGTTGTTGGCAATGGTCATCAACACTGACTGGATAATCTGAAAATAAGAAAAAAATCCATATTCAGTGAACATTTAACACACTTAAATGTTATTAACAGACAGATCTTTTTTCATCAACACATCAGGACATGCCAGTAAAACCTACAAATATTTACTAAAACAATTTCTTGCAGAAAGTAAGACTATCATCTTTTTTTTTTTTTTCCCTGCTTGGTGAAACAATCCCTTGGAATTTGCAAAAATAGTTTAAATGACCCTAAGCTTTTGCAAACCATCTGACCAATTCCTTGACACCACACTCAGCTGCATTTCAATGCTGCCCTGCTGCCCATTTAACATCAAACAAGGTGGAACACTGACCTCAGGTGGTACCAGCTGATGTGAAGCCTGYGCAGCAAATAGAAGAATTCTTGTCACTTCTGGAAGAAAAGATGCCAAAACATTGCTGCAGCTTGCTCCAGCCAATAAATACATCCCCAAAATTCAACAAAGTGCTCCAGCAGTCCCAAAGCTATTCAGTTTGAAGTTGTTTGGCACAACTATTTCTCCTCTCCCACCAAGCAATAGGAACTCCTCTGGCTTCCCCCTGGCAGCAAAAGCCAGCTAAAGCAAAGGAAATGCTCCAGAACTAGAATCAAACACCAGTCAAAGGAAGCAGCAATCACACTGAGCTCAGTTAATCAGGATTAGGGGCTCAGATTGCTCTTACTCCTTTGCTGGTGCTTCTCAAATGCTCAGGTAGGGGAGCCCTGAGTGCACACAGAAGTCCAAAGCACTTCACAATTCTGGCAGTGAGGGACTTGTCCTTCCTTTATCCATACTCTGGACTATCCCACTTCCCACCATTGCACTGCTCCCTGACCATGTTCAGCACCATTTCCATGACAGCACCTGAGACATGGACCATGAGTACCYAGAACAGCTACTTACCCCTCTGATGTGGCTGCAGGAACCTCTGAACAAAGGGGTAGAAATTAAAAAGAAAAAGCTGCAAGACAAAGTGTAAAACATTATCTTCTTGTCGTTGAACTTGACATCATCCTCATAAGCAGACACATTGTAAAACAATCTCATTCTATAGAGGGCTCTCCAAATACCTCAGATTTCACACTGCAGAAAAATTAAACCTCATTTTTCAGAGGTGTGAGGCCAGAATGTGCCCACACCCAAAGCAACCAACAGACCACCATAACATCACCCAAGGACATACCTCATGTATTCCAACCAGCCTGGATATTAGATCCATGAGCATCATCTTCACTTCAAATCGCTCCTTGCAGTTCTCCAGCTGCTTCAGCAGTTTCTCAGCAAAGTCTAGAAGAAGGAAAAAGTAATTTGCAGTAGACTGAAAGAGCGCAACACAGAATTCACATGGGATCAGGGTCAAAATAGGCAGTTGGAGTTGATCATATTTCTCAGCCCCAGTGCCCTTTCACAGAAGAAATTAAAGCTGACTAAAGCACTCATACCAATGGATTATTTTACTTCTCATGCCTCAAAGGCCTGCTGTGCACAGGTTCAGTAGAGTGAACTAACACATGTGACCCAACATCATAAGCACAGGGGCAGCACTGAAAAATCARTTCCTGGATATATTTCATGTTCATCTGAGAAAATGAAACCCCCAGAGACTAGAACAGACTAGCACCAAATCAAGTGCAGTTAGACAAGCACACTTCAGCAGGGGCTAACCCAGAGCAGTTCCAGTCAATCAACTGCTCCCTCTTCACCCAGTTACTGCCCTCACACATGCAAGAGAGGCAGACAGCCATGTCCTGATCCATAGAAACCCAAAGCAAATGATGAAATATTCCTCCTTCCTTCTCTCACAGCTCCACTACAACAAGCACAACAGGACTGAGCTCTGAAAGACCAGTGAAACCCTGGAGTAAAAACACATTCTAATTGTCACTTGGGTGCTCCTGGCAGAGCTGTGTACAAGCCTCCCTATCTGGGATTACCACAAATGGCACCAATAAAATGCATTGCACACTCACCCTGGGGATCATGAATCAAGTGAATGGCAGAGAAGTTGAACACCTCTGGCTTGCTTTTCTTTTTCTGCTTCTGCATAGAAACAAGAGTGTAATTTTTCTCTATGAGTAAAGTGCTCCAGTTTCAAGGTTGCTGTCAACAGATGGCTGCCTCTACAAAAAGATGTTTAAAACTAGCCTTGGATTTAAAAAAAAAAAATAAAAATCTGTGTTTTCAACCACAGAGGATTATCTGCCACCTGCAGCTAAACAAGCAGGGCAACAACAGGACTTCTGTACTGGAAGGATTAATCCAAGAGGATGGGAAATTGGACAGCCTTTGCCTCACCTTGAGGACCTTCATGGCCTTCTCCAGTTTCTTCTTGCGCTTGGTGGTTTTCTTGTTGGTCGCATAGCGCATCATCAGATCTCTGGCTGTGGGACCATCATCCTTGGGGAAGGAAAACAACACAGAGGTAACCCAGGCTGCAGATGGCAATCAGAGAAACACACAAGCAATATTTTCCAAGTTATCTTCTATAACTCTCCCCGTTTCTAAATGTCACCACACAGAGGTACCAGCATTTAAACAGAAAAGCAAATGAGCTCTTGGCATTTATCTTTCAACAGACAGTAAAGACATCCTGCCATCACTTAGGGCCTGCTGTTAGAGACTGAAATTGTCTGTGAAGCACAGAAATATCTGGAGAAAACAAGGCAAGGCATAAAGTAGCACAGAGACAGCCAGACTAGCAAAGGCAGATTCACCAAGATGAAAGAACCATTCAGGGGTCTGAAGGACACAGAAGGGAATATTTGATCACAACCCACCTCAGACTCTGAGTCACTGTCTTGTTTTTCATCTTCATCTTTCCCAAGGAAGAACTTCAAACTAGCAACTAACACCTGAAAAGTAAAGTGATTTCATGTGGGACAAGCTGACAGTTTACAACTACACTACATCTACACCTTAAGCTGAGCAAAGACTTAACCAGATTTTTAACAGGCTTGGATCTGGGCAAAAAACAAAACAAATTAAAGTCACAAGTTTTACAGACTGAGACAATTTTAACCACCCATCGTCACTCAGAGGCACTTAGAGCATCTGAGCTTCCACAATGCCTGGAGCAAATGCAAAGATGCAAGTTGTCTTTCTATCATCCTGCAAAACCATTTCAATCAACTTGCTCCTTGTCAACGTTATCAGGAGGCCCTACCCAAGTGAGAACCAAGATGATGCTCAGAACTCTAAACTTGCATTAATTCACATGGYTTTGCTGGTTAGGTTTTTCAGTTTTGGACCTTCACAGGGTAAAAACTTGTCTCAAGCCATAGAACAAGTTTTTAAAACCTCCAGAGTCGACACAGAAGGCCCAGCATTCAATCAGGCCCAAGGCAGGCAATTGCTGCTCTCCTCGTTTAATCAAACCTCACAGTGCTGATATTAAGGAGGTGATATTCTGCCAGTCTGTTCTAAATAACAATGAAAAGAGCACCCATGCTCCCCASACCAGTCTGCACCCATTACAAGATMAGCTACCAAGCTCTGCCTCCTCCTATGAAGAGTATTTTGAAAATTAAACAAGCAGCAGACAAATCAATGACATTTCTTTGCAACAAGAACATATTAAGTTACATCCACAAGAAAAAGGTAGCCAAGCTAACAYGCAGTATATCAAGTGATTTCTGTTCTCACCTTGGTCACTTTGGAAAAGCAGGCAGTTGTGATGACATTGACTGTTTTGGCATCATTCCTAGAATAAAACAAATCACATCTTTTATTTCAAGTCTGGCAATTGCACTTTCTCAGAAAGTCAGTTCTCATCAAATTCTCAAGTTACTCATTCCACACAGCATTTATTCTCAGCTAAATTCCCTGCACAACTCTCAGCCCCACTGGGCCATAATTGAAAAATGAGGTCGACGTGCCCTGCACTATGTTTTAGACTAAGTGCCACCAATGATGCCCCTGTGMCCCCAGTAACCAGCAGACCAACACAAAGCTGCCAGACCCACCAAATATTCCTTCTGTAAAGCTCAATCATCACATCCAGAGATATCTTGGCAGCAGTGGGATTGCTGTCTCTCAACATTGTGTACATGAAATTCTGCAACGCCTAAAAAAAAATAAAAGAAAATGTTTTCAGAGATCTTCAACAGTAGCAGGAAGTCAGTTCAAAGTACACATGAAAGCCAAAGCACTTACCGTGTTCACTTTATTGTTTTTGTGTTTAGCATTGACATTCTTGATGTCYGTCACAATGTGAGTGTACAAGGTCTGCAAGTGGAGAGATGACAGGGAATAACACACAAGATAACACTGAAATGAGACCCAGCTGATCTGCACTCAGTACATCACTTCAGTTAGAGCAGGAAAAATCCAGGAAAGTGTCCTGGGCAGTCTCACCTATTTGAAAATTATACTGAATTCACACTACAGCAGGCAGGACAATGAACAGCATCAAATATGGCTTAAAAATCCTACCCCTGCTTCATTCAGGCCTGTTGTAACAGCCAGGTTTTTACCTGCACACACACCCAGACTGCTCACTCCCAAAYAGTACAAACCTACAACCTGCAATGGCAAGGTGCTTATGGCAGCAGAACTCAGTTACTGGKCCAACACAGAGCTGRAGCCCWRCYTSCAGYACTGACTGCTGAAACAGCTGAGATATTTTAATTTCTCACTGCATAACCAAGCWGAGAACAGMTGCCTATTCTGCCATTACCTGTGWCAAGCTGRTCAAAACCCACTGGAAATGGAGACKTTTGTCAGCACACCTTACCTTTCGTAGCAGCTTATCATGACAGCGCAGCAATTGAAAGAAGAGCTCCAGCAAACTCGTGGGATTGATTAGATTCTTGTTTCTCAGCAGGATCAGAGCCTTACAAAAGGTCTGTAAGAGAAGGCAAATTTCACATTCTTTTCATGCTTCTCTCTCTGTTGACAAGCAAACCACAGCTCTCAGCTCGCACAAAGGGCATACTGAAGCACAGGGCACGGCTCTCACCATGCGCAGCTCGGGGTCCAGCACCGTGTGGTGGTACGAGAGCAGCTCCTTCAGCTGCTGCGGGAAGCTGGCCATGTGCTCGGGGTAGCAGTGGGCAACCTGGACGGGACAGGGCAAGTGAACGCTCTAGAGCACGCCTGGGGTCACCTCACACAGCCGGCAAGGTGTACGCAACAGTAATATTGAGTTATTTGTATGACAAAAGAGTCATTGAAACCCGCTTGGCTCAGGGCTGAACCTCACCTGCGCCAGGAACATGAGCAGTTCGGCCAGCTCCTTGCTGGGCTTGTCCGGCTGGAAGGTGAAGATCTCCACATGGGACTGGTAGTGGTGGTACTGCTGCAGGAACTGCGCACACACAGGGAACAGCGGCACTGAGCACCACCCGTCCGTACCCCCGCGCCCGGCCCGCAGCCCGCCCCCAACGCCCCTCCCGGTGCGCACCTCCTCGGTGTAAGAGGTGGGGTCGCGCTTGATGAGGTTCTGCAGCTGGGGAAGGTTGCTGGGCAGTTTGTTGCCCTGGCGGCCCGACATGACTGCCGGTATAGCACCGTGAGTGCACCACGCGAGCGCTCAGCTGGCCGCAGCCATCTTGGCCCGCCCCCGACGGCCGCCGCCAGGGGACAAACCTCCGCGGAACGCGCGCACCGCGCCCGGGAAAAGCGGCTCCTTGGGGCTCCTCCCTCCCCAACTGTTTGGAGCGAAAATGCTTCACAACACCTCTCAAATAATCTGTAAGAGTGGTCAGCATGAGCAGGGAATCCTCAATGAGAATAAAAAAATATTCTAGTTTAGTCTTTTTTAAGTTTAGCTTCTGATCAAGCTATTAGAAAGCTGAGCTCTTTATTTGCATATCTTRTACTKCCTTTAGGYGGTTTGCTTACACTAGAAAGCAATKGTTGTTCCTAGATACCGTATAAATAATTCCCGTCCAATAAACACTCTTTCATACAGCCAGAATGTACATCAGAAGAGCGTCAAATCTTAAACATTGCAAAGTCCCAAACCATTAAAATAATCTCTCATTTAAGTCACCAACATTTCTCTCCCAGAAAAGCTTTTCACTGTGTTGGTAACAATCTCACAGGTAGCTGCAATCACCTAAGCACCTCCCTGCCATTGGGTGGCCAGTGGCAACCTGAATGTACCACTCAGGTGAGTTTGGCCCTTCCTTTACCTATTAAAGCAAAAAAAAAGCACATCCTCTTCTGCATACCCACACAACTACAAAAAAAAAAATGGCTTTAGCATCATTTGGAGGGCAAAATGACTGCAAAGATAACAGAAAAACCTAATACCAACTGCACAGAGCAAAAGCAACCTTGTCACCAAAAGACTTCAATGAACATTTAATATTGAATTATTAATTGAATTATTATTAATTATTATTAATTGAATTATTATTTAATATGCTAACCTTGCCAGCTATAGCAACACAACAGCCTTCCCTACAACCCAGGGTAAAACACTAAATATTTATTAACTCTGCAGAAGAAAGACTGTTACTTTGGTTTTTACAAAGACTGTCAACAAGGTTAAATCAACAAACCAATTGGGTTTCATTAAATACAAATAGAACACAAAAATAACCTTCCTAAACATTTTTATTCATTTAATATTAAAAAACACCTTCTTAAACAACTAGCACATACTAGAATATTCTCTATAAGGCCTTTAATGAAAAAAATCCAGTTTTATGGGCCTATTATCAAAGTTGTTACATGGGAAGCCACAAAATTTGAATCACTGTGAAAATTAACACCTAATACCTGCAGTAAAAGGACTTACAAAATTAACTTGAATAATTTATCAGAGTTTCAACCTACACAAAAAAAAAAAAATTAAAAAAAATAAAAAATTCTATTAAACAAACACCCCAAAAGGGGCCTCTCACCAATGCTTGTTATTCTCCCAAATGAAAATGGGTGTATCCAATTTGGGCCTTTATACCCSCAGCAGTTATCTCCTGCACCCTGATTGGGCTGATTTCCAGGTGTTAATTAGGAATGCTTAAATTCACCTGGAAAAACAGCTGGTTCTTGTTTGGGGATKGTGGGGTTGTCAGAGCRTTCCTCAGTGAGACCAACTGCWAATACCAACAGAAAAAYKGTAAGTGTGACTTTTCAYRTTGTTTYRTGAGTTAAATAGTACATTTTAGGTATTTTTGCCTAAGTGACATATTAAGTGAGGAATTTATTAAAGAGTATTGTTGGTTGTGGTATGGAATAAAAGGCAATTTGGTTTTTTGCTTGCATAATTTTTCAAGGTCCATGTGTGCATATTAAGCTTTAATTTTTCTTTTCAGAGAATAAGAAGCTGACAGGTTTTTATACATTTTATTGAATTAAAAAAGAAGATCTGGGTTTCTTCTTTAAGGCATTTTTTTTGTTTCTATTCAAAGCTTCTTAACATGGTTGTGTCTGTGGTTGGGATTACAGAGAACAAATTTGGTTTTTTTCCTTCATTTTTAATTATGGAATGATTACCTRTTGTAGRGACTTCCTCMATKRCAGTRTGTTGAAAGGTTTTCATTTTRTTRCAYARTTKATACATGGRTTAAACATGCCTTRAAAGAAGCAAAGCAGAGAACCAAARCACTCAAACTTGAAAGAATGGGTTTTGTTCTCAWGGTWAAWTWRGKTYCMWTWRRAAWWAAAAAAGGGGAAACTGTTACTAAAGTTGCTATTAGGGCCCTAAGATATTTYTCTGCATGGTATTTSTTAGTTTTGGCAATGAGTTRAGCAGTATTTGGGGCTGCAGTGTTCATGGATGTGGTAGAATTGCATGTGATGTTGGGTTGGGAATTTGGACATGGRCWGCCCTTGGCTCTCTTTTGCCATAGCTGCAGTCAGCCCCTCACTTTATATCCCATCAAAAGCTGYAGAATTTGAGTTTTGACAATATCTGGGAGGTTTTACTTGAACACATTTAATGTATTTGATCACCAGCAATTCATTTAAACTCCATGTCAAGTCCTGACCCTCATTGGCTCGAGGGAATTTGTCTTCTTGGACTTAATACTTGTAATTGAGTAATTAATTTAGTAATTGAGAACAGGGTCAATGTTCTTTTTCTTTAGAAAAAAACAACAAAAAAATTTTAAAAAAAACCCCTTTAAGTCCAACAGAAATATTTATTTTTGGGTCATGACTCATAAATTATTTGCAGACTCAAGACATAGGAACTGTGTTGTTCTGTGCAAGGGAAAAGGGAGAGATTACAGTAATGGTTTGAGAAATGCACAGTCATTTGCAGCTCCAGGGGGAGAAAACAGTCCAGCTGATGGTGCTGATGWGAAATTTGTGTGGAACCAGAGGATTTTCAGCCTCAGCTTTGCYTGCTGTGGCATTCTTTTGCCTGCAACTTGAATGTTTCTTCCTCTGAGGGGAGGAACTTGGTGCAAATCATTTTTTAAAGGTCAATCCCAGCAGGTGCTTAGTCATAACTGAATAGAGAATGTTTGTTTGGAATTACAAATGGACTAACCCTAAAGGCTRCTTGAATATCCCCAAAATATTAGATTTGAATTCATCTCTTTTCATGTCTTATGAGGATTAAAGAGGGGACAGGGAAAAGAACTCCAATTTCTCCCTCGCAGATTTTGCTTCATAGTCGTGACCTAATAACTTGTAACATCACAGAATTCTGAGACCGGGAACAGCAGGATTTTGAAGATGAAAATGTCTCTSAGACAAATTTTGATGAGCTTATCCATGACCACTTGCAATACTTAGTCTGCCAAGAGGCTCTTTGCTCCTGGCATTTCTTTGYTGGCTTATTTTTGCATGAATGAGGAGGGGAAATGGTATTTTTACAAGTTSACTTTTGCTAACTCTGATATAACATCAGAATAATTTGTGTTAGTCCTATTTTGCCCCTCCTCAAAATTTAAAAATTTTAAAATTTAAAAATAAAACTGGTTTTTATTTAGGACAGACAGCTTGTATGTGAAAGAATATCAGATCAYCTGTCTTAAAAGTACTTTTTTCAGGAGTGATGAAAACTTCTGATCTGTGGATTGCAGTTTCAAGAGTTAATTTAGGTGATGTTTGGATTTTGAGATTCTGATCCTGCAGTCACTCCCAGGGGCTCAAAGCAGCTCAGTGATGCAGAGCAGATCCTAAAATGATAAACCAGTTCAGCCTCAATCTGTCAGAGGTTCTGCAAGTGCATGGAAATATTTCTATTCTGGTATTTTGGGAGGCTTTGCCTGTAAATATAAGCAGTTATTTAGGGAGAGTTTGATTCATTGTGAAAGAGAAAAGAATGTGATGATGGGTTTGGCTTCTTTTCATGCCTTCTTATTGAATTGGAATAGAACACACAGACTGATGCAGAAAATAGTTTATTGAATGTCACTAACAAAACTACAATTATGGCAATAAGATTTTTACTGTTTCATTATTCCACATGTGAACCCTGAACTGGGGTCCTTCTCTAGCAATTATGTCCCCTTCWTAGAATTTTTAAGGTTTTAAATGCAAAATGAGGAACAAGAAAAGAAATTTGAGCCAGCTTGATTTTTTTTTTTTTACTACTTGAACCAGAAGCAGGGGTGGAAGAAGGCAGCAGTAGCAGTAAAGCTGTGGGGAAAGTGAAATGCCCAACATCTCCCAGAAGAGTTGAGTATTCCTGGCACAGCTGAGGGTTTGGCAACTTTGCAAAACACTTCAGGGTAGCGGCATCTTTTGATCTTCTCTGAATCTGTGAGAACTGGAAGCTTGCAGATGTCCAAGTGCTGGAAGGGTCTAGGGTGYCCAATTGTAAAGTAACTTGAAAAGTTGGATTTTTCAGTCTCATCCTTCATTTTTTCTTTTAAATTTGGTTTTGCAGCACTCTTCCAAGGGTATAAATGCTGCTAAGTCATCAAGGACCTTGTGTGAATGTTGTGCAGAGGTTTAGAGTGTTTGGGAAGGGAAGGGCACAGACATTGCTGCTGATGGGAAAACACCCAGGAGACTGCAAAGGGCAGMTTCCCCAGAGCTGTAAATCAGGGAATGACTGCCCTGTATCTGCTGGGGATCTGGTCTGTATGGTCTGACACATGAAATGGCATTGCAGGTGCATGAAAAGAGAGTTTGACAACCAGGGAGATGGCACGAGGGTGAAGTTGGAAATGTGAACAGACAAGTTGGATTTCTGTAGGGGTGCTGTGGTGTGTTTTGGGTAGAACACAGGGGGCATCAAGGCTCCAGCAGAGCAGAGAGCTGAGCTACTCAGCAAAGCAGGAGTCTGGTGTCAGAGCTGCCTGGACGTGTGTCACCTCGCCGTGGTGCAGGAGTGGCACAGGGGACGTGTAGCACTGGTTCCTGTCGTAGGTGTAGCAGGTCTGTGGCTCCTCACAGGCATTGCCCTGCTGGGCCTGAACAATCGCCCCACCCAGATCAATTTCTACGGGTTCACAATTTTTGCAGCTGGAAGAGATGGAAAATAGAACAAGTGTGAGGAGTTAGATGAAATGATGCCCCTGCTGAACCCCAAATCTTTATTGCTCATCTGCAGATGGAGCTGGGAGAGTGCTGTGCCTTTTCTAAGTGTTCCAGGGGAACACCTGGCCCTCAAGCAACTTTTAGAACTGTTATGGGTTAAGTTTTGTGAAGTGAAGTTAGGAAATAAAACTACTTACAGKTCACTCATGCGGTAGACAAAAGTGGTCCTGAGCGGGGACAAGGGGTCAGAGATGTTCTCCCGAGCCTTCAGGGGGACTCTGCAAAGAGAGAGAGAATCACTCCCATGAAAACTGCTTATTAAACAGGGTCTGCTCCCTTGTGAGCAATTCTAAACTCTCATCTTCTTCAGGTAATTTTCATTCTGACCCTTCTCAAATCAAATCCCAGTGTCAGGAGATCTCGGTGCAACCCTCCCTGACAGGACTGYAGCAACTGATGTGCCACTTGCAAGATAACACGGCTGCTAGTGTTTATTTTTGTTAAACTCTGAGCTGGCAGATGCCTCAGACAGGGATGTTTCATTAGCAGTTCTCCTGTTCTGAGCTCTACCAGCTCTCCTGCAGCTCTGAGCTGGTCTTTGTTTCCCAGAGACACACACGTTTGTGTGAGTGGGGAGGACAAAGTCCTGCTCTTGAGCTGAGATCCATCTCATGGGAGACAGAGTTTAGGCACTCCTGATAGTTATCAGTTTAGGCATTAACTATTTCCCCAGGCTTTCTGTCAGGTTGGAAAGTCATTCCAGTGTCATGGGTCCAATCTGGTTTCAGCTTAGATCAACTTTAGACAAGTCATGCTTTATTTCCCCAGCCTGTTTAGTGAAGTTACTACTGCTACCTGAAACATGGAGATGCTTTTTGTATCTGAAAGGACAAATACCAGAGAGGTTCGTSTGAGACAGAAAAGCACTAAGCAAAGGGAAATACTCAGGATACCACACAAAGCAGCCCATATGGAAAGCTGGATATAAGATACCATGCAAAAGAAAGGGAACTCATATAACACTGCACCCCCAGCTCACCATGKCCAGGAAATGCTTGGCTGCCACTTACATGATGCGTATGTTTCTTGTCAAGACTTCTTCATCAGGATTTTCTTTGGAAGGGAYGAACTTTGAGGTCACTGTTACACACTGGCACTTATTATTGACCAGCACGTACTCCTCATCCTCGAGGTCCACTGGATAACCTGCAAGCACAGGATAGGCAACCCCAGAACCAAGAGCAAAGTCCTCAAAAGCTGTTCTAGCAGAAAGCCAAGGGATGGGAWTGCCAGGATTGCACCATTATGGAGCTTGGATTGATGGAAGTCCAGGTTGCAGCAGRTCCAAGGGAGTCTCTTAGTAAAGATGAATTCATCCATCCTCCTGCTCAGCTCAGTGTGCTGCTGTATGTGGGGTGATGGGACTGGGAACAACAAGATTAGGAACCTGGACRCTGTGGTGGTGAGGGACAAAMGTGCAGGGATTGCCTGTAAAATRGGAAGAGAGCCACACSTGGTGACTGAAGTGCTCTCTCACCMTACCAGGTTATCCAATTCCTGTCATGCACCATGACTATTCCCACATTCCAAACCCCAATTTGAATCTGACCTCGAAATAAATGTCTCTGACCGTGCCAATGTGGCAGATGTGTCAGTTTGCCTTAAGTGGTATCTTGTCCTCCATGTTCCTGGGGGAACAGATACCAAAAAAGCACAGCAGAACCCAGCAAGGAGTTGCCTCCTGACCTGGCAGGGACAGGCAGGTGGCCCTTCTGATGTTTGTGGTTTGCAGGGAAAACTCCAGCCCTGATTTGCCTCTCCAAGCTGCTGTTTTTAGCACACTACGCAATATGAAACTCAGTCAAAGCAGGCTAAAATRTGCCAGGTGTCACTCAGAGGCTTTTGGGATGTTCCTGACGTTGTGCAATGCTGCCTTACTGCGAGTAGATGAATTTCAAATGGTTTGTTCTTTGCAGATTTGTTTTCCMCAACCCAGAGCCTCTGGTCCCTTCACCCATAACAAGCCAGCCTTGCTTTAATGTGTTGTTTTAACATCCCTCTGTATTTGTAAATGCAGCTGAAATCAAGTTCACAGCCATCACTCTGCTACAGCACCTTCAGCCTGCTCACAAATAGCAAACCCAGTGATTTTTGTCAAATGGGGACAGTTTGTGTTGGGCTCAGATGGATCTCAGTTCTGGGACTTGCCTGCTCTGATTGTCCCTTGGTTTAATCACAGAGAGAAAGAAGAAACAGGCTGAAAACATCTGTTATGATTTCTATAAAGGATTTTGGAGTCACTTGGACTTAAAATCTTTGGTCCTTCCTTCCCCTGTAATATCCTGGCCTCATCTCCTTCAATCCAGGTTTTCTGAGATTGCACCATAACTGTGAAAAAGGTACCAGTACTGTGTAAAACGATGCTTCACAGTGAGGCCAAGTTGACCTGCTGGTTGCAAGTGCTGTTTCTGTGCCCTTTGGCAGCAGGAACCTGCTGGGTAAAATTCCCAATAGAGTTTCTAGCTGGGGAAGGAAATCGCTTTTCTCCCTTGTTCTCCAAGTTTCTTCTCTGCCAGGTCATCCATCCACATGAGCTCTTCCCTCTGATGCAAAAGCCTCCCACAAAAGCCTCTCTAGACCCTGGCTTCTTGTCTTGGCCTTTATTTTGGCTCAAAGAAGTCTCTGGCTTCTTGTCCATCACACAGCTCTTCCTCTGCTGCCTGTGCTGCATTCCACATCATATTGTGTGCACTTTTTCCAAGCCTTTAATCCAAAGCCAATGTTTGAGTCACATCCAATTGGCTTTGGGGTTGTCCCAAAACCTTTGAGAGCAGGCTTTAATGCTAAAATTAGATTAACACAATCTTATGCATATGCAGGTTTTTCTGACTGCTCCAAAAATATTGCCCTGATTTAATTCCTTGTGTTGTGCTCTTRGCTTCACGGTTAAAGTTACTGGTGCTCCATCAATTTTTCATTTACGATTACAAAACTCAAAAAATGTGATTTTATCAGCAGTATCTCCATTTGTCACCCAGTAAAGTCCCCTTGGGGAGAAGATATTTAAATGCAAAATTTGCCATTGCTGTTCTAAATGTCTGCAGGTTGGATTTCTTGCCCTGAGTCACTGCACTAAGATGTTCCCTCCCTCCTCAGTAGTTATGTGGTTTTGGACAAAATTTTTCCATCTTCTAGTACTGCACTGTCCTGTGATAGACTGTGAAGCCCAACAGAATTGTCTGGGATAGGCCATAAGGTACCCTTTGCCAAAAGCTGGAGGAAATGCAGGGCTGCAGCTGCCTGTGCTGTCGGGATGGTTATCCCTGAGCACTGATTTGATCCTGCACACCACATCCACCATGGGCAGGAGGATGGATTCACACTGTGTAAAACCTGACACCCACAATGAGGAATGTGCTGGGAGGACAGGCTGATCTCAATTCAAATCAAGAGTTTCCAAGAAATTACAGAATAAGCTATGGTTTAATAAAGTGCAGCCATGCAATAGGATTACCAGAAAGTTTTGGAAGTCTTTAGATCTAGCAGGTGAGAGTCTTGCAATCTCCCTAGGACTGCAGAAAAGCAAGTGTACATGTTGGTAGTTTATTGCTTCAGAAACCTGATAAAAATGGCTAATTAGCAAGCCTTACATTTGGACTAATCATCACTGTATCCTCCAGGCAGCAATTCAAAGCACACAGCTCTGATGCAGAAACACCCTGAGGTGTCCAAGCACCACTGAAGCATGGCTGCTTGAGCAGGCTTTGAGGTTTGACCTCTGACYGTTAGAATAATTCAGGGTAGATTACACAAAACATCCCATTGGTGTCTTAATCCCAGATTTCCATCTCATTGCTCACCTACCTGCCACATGGATGATCCCCAAGGAAACAGCCAAGGTCACACACAGCAACAAAGAGCTCCTCATCTTGCCTTCCCTTCTTTTGAAGAATGTGAGTGGAGAGCTTGACTCTGCCTATAAGGGCGTGTGCAAATTGGTTTCCTAAAATAAACAGCGCAGCCAAAATGTGGCTGGGGACTGAAACCAGGTGTGTTAATGCAAGACCTCTGGCTTTCGGAGGGGAAGGGAGCAGGGGATTGCACTTTTTTTTTGGTGCTTTTTTCTGTTCTTCACCAAGAAGCAACAGAGCTGCTGAGTACAGGGAGGTTCAAAAGGTCCCCCTTAGGGGACATGTTCCCTTCAGGGCTGGTAGAGGGTAAGAAAGTCCAAGAGCCACAGCTCTGGCTCTAAYTTTGAGAAACCAGATTTAAAAATCGCTTGAGTCCTATTAAAAAAAAAAAAAATACCTCCGGCTTCAAAATTTGGACCCGCTGTGTGCAAACCTATATTAGGGGCTGGAGCTGCCCCCAGAGAGCCTGCAGTCAAAGCAGCAAAGGTGGCAGGGCAGGGGTCAAAGAGGTACAGCAATGGCAGCTCTGCCCCTGCACTGAGGGGTTCATCTTCTTGTGAATAGGAAAGGGACTCCATGGGATTTGTGATTTAGGAGAGGTCCCAGGAAAACCCTGGGCCATTGGGCATGCACACTTTTCCTGAAGGAGGTTGATACTGTAGAGAACCTGGGCTTTTTTTTGTCCCAGATTTGGGATCATTTGTGTAACTTCTGAAGAGCAAAGGTTGCAATGTMGCCTACAAAGGCCAGAGCTATCTCTGGAGCATTTGCATGTGTCTTGTTCAGGAAAGGGCATTTTTAGGGAAGCCCAGTCTTAGCCAGGGCCTGGCTGCTCTTGCCAGGTTTCTTCAAGAGGCTGAACTCTTTGGRCAATGCTGCCAGGGATCCTGGTTCCTGTCACCTTGCAGGCTGCCTGCCCTTCTTCCAGACCCTGCAGGCTGAGCCCAAAACTGTTCCAAGCCCCTGCTTGTGTGCCCTGGGCTTTTTCCCTAAAGACAAAGCCTCACTTTACAGCTGCATGATGCAATGAGCTTTCAGGTTACATCAGCAGTGCTCGTGTGCAGGAGGAGCTGGGATGTGGGGGAGTGATGGGTCATAGCCCAGCTCCTTGCAGAGCATGGGGTTCTACCATAGTTCTTTACAAACCTTGGCTTCTTGTCAGGGATCCATCTTTAGCAGAGGAAAAAAGTGGGGTTGTTTCCTTTCCCCATCCCAGAAAGCATTGCTAACGGTTTCATGCAGCCCTCTCTCTGTCTCTCTGAGACAGGGGCAAGRTGTTCCCTGTGCCCCATTTTTGGCAGAAGGTAAAAAATAAACCTGGCTCACCTAGGCTGGTAGGGGTGTCTGTTTAAAGTACTGCGTGTTTCAGTCACCTTTCTTGTAAGRAATTCTTTAGGATTATATAAGAAGGCAATATGGCAGCAGCAGGATAGGGCACATGCAGAGGAGACTGGCTCGCATCTGTTTTGCCAAATTGCACTAATAAAAATATGGCCCCGGGAAAATGCAAGGACAGCATTTYCAAGTGTGAAGGCAGAGGCTGAGCTGAATTCTATCTGTGTCTTTCTGTTCACGTTGGTGGTTTTCCCTGGCTGCTGGCTCTCAGCRTATCTGGATTTCAGTTGCTAAATCTACACGTGTCTGTACAGTCCCTTGGTCTGGATATGATGACACCAGAGCTATTTTCAGTCCCTTCAGCCACCTGCATGTCTCTGGGGATTTCTAGTTAAATTGCAAGCCCTTGAGAGGAAGCTTTATGTTATGGACTGTTACTTTTATGGACTATCCCTGTGTTACTGGATGATTTCTGGAATTTTATCTGGGTGAGCAGGCGTTTGGCAAGAGGCTGAGTGGGGAGCTGGACTCCCAACCTCCCTGCAGGGCAGAGGCCAGAGGTGGAATTGAGAATTGGGAAAGGAATGGGAACCAGCCCTGTGCTTTCAGTCTCCATTCACATTCTGTGCTTCCAGTTGGCCCTGCACATGCTGAACTAGGATTTGCCAGGTAAGAAGTGGGCAGTGCCTGAGTGAAGTGAGGCAAAATTATTGTGCAGCAGCATTCCCTCATTGTGTTCTTGGTAGCAGGGATTCCACTGGTGCTYACAGCAAACTGGATTGGCCTGAGCAGCTCCTGGTCACTGGAGGAACTAACTCATGCTGGAGATCATCTCCAGCTTCACAGAAGTGGATGATGTTTTCACTAAGTCCTGAAGAAGCCTTGAACAGCCTCAGGTTGTTTACTGCTCCTGGAAATTAATTTTACATTGGGAGACACATCAATTCTGTTTAAATCCAAGAGAGTCCAAGTGGAAGTTAGCATGGTAATTTTTGAAATGACAGACTTGGAAAAAATAAGGATAGTTAAGATGGAAACTATCACAGTTAGGGACGTGAGAAAGGCCTGGGTTTCTCTAAGTCACAGCTGCAAAAGTGATTTGGAATTTTAACCCRGCAGGAACTGGCTGCAGGCATCTCTGCTGGATTCACACAAAAATCCAGCAGGAYTGAGCAGCCAGATGACAAAGCCTGATCACCAGGAACAACAATATGTAGTGGCCAAGTATTGAGTGAGAGTTTCCACCAAGATATAGCCAACGTATAAATGTAATGGATGCTGTGTGTCTCCTGATCATAGTTATYCTTGTTTTTCTTTCTCCTACAGCTCTGTATCCAGCGAGGTGATGGCTGAAAACTGGCAGGGACAGATTTGCAAAAGCAATCTGAGGCAAAACCTGTCTTTGTGCAAGGAAGTTTTGACAGAGAGGTGACCACGTGAAGAGGCTGAGCATGGCTGAAAGTCGACATTGAGACCTGTTCATCATCAGATCAACCAGAATCCAAATGAATCACCAAAAAGTGAGTAAGGCTGTGCACCCCACTCTGTTTCAGGTAATTTGAATATTTGCTTGATCTGTTTTTTTCCACAAAAAGGTGGGCAGGAGCATTTATAAATACACCTGCACCTGTTCTGTGGTGAAAAAAAAAACCTGCACTTGTACACAGAACTGTTCTTACCAGGATGTGTGATTGCTTAGTTTGTCAGGCTCTGGGTTTCTCAGCTAGGACTACACTAATCCCTGTGTCTAATTACTCTGCTCTTCTCAGTGTTAATCTCATTTTCCCTTGGGAAGCATGGAAAGCTGGGTTGGGGCTCTAATGGCTGATAGACACAAAAACACAGGATAAAAATGCAGAGGTGAATAAATAGAGATTGCCTTAAAAGCCCTCCTGGTGAGGGAGTTATTGAAAAAATATCTCCCAGTTATTGAAAAAATCAGAATTGATTCTTTTCTGGTATGCATGGATCTCTTGGCACAAGGACATGGATCCAAGGAGTGCAGAGGTGATGAAGCAGCAGCTGCCGAGCTGTGCAGCCCCCAGGAAGGGGCCTGGCTCTCGCCGGGAGCTGCCTGCATCCCTGTAAAGATGCGGGTCAGTGATGGGAAAGGTTCGGRGGAATTCACATCTGCACCGCGGAGCTGGCCAGGGAGATCTGCAAATACTTCTGCTCCTCTCCGAGTTTGATCTGATCGTACAAAGCACCGGAACTGAGTACCGAGTTTTGGTTACAAGGGTACAGGTGTGGTTTTTTTCCTCGTTACTGTATGACCGCACACACAGCAGCTGTACGTGGCTGGACTTTTAGAAGAAGAAAAAACCCTAAGGAGGAGGGGGAAAAGGCGGCTTTTTCTTTCTCTTTCCACGTGGTATTACCAGTTACCGAGAGCCGCYCCGGCAGAAGCCCCTCCTCCCCCGGGCTGCCCGGGCACCCCCATCCCGGGGGCGGAACGCTCCGGCCCCGGCACAGGAAGGGCTGGGCACGGGCGGAAGGGACGCAGCGGAACGGGAAGCGGCTCAGGCGGCGCTGGAGCCATGCGGACCCGGCGCGGGACCGTCCTGMGGCCGCGGGCCGAGCCCGCCGAGCCCGAGGATGGCCCGGACCAGGTGCCCGGAGGCCGCGCCGGCCCCGAGGAGCTGGCGGACGATGTGGAGCGCTTCCACGAGGAGCAGTTCCGCTCCGTGATGGCAGCCCTGGACAGCGGCGAGGAGGCCGGGGACAGCGGAGAGGAGGAGGAGGAGGAGGAGGTGCTGGGGCTGCAGCTGCCCGAGGACAGCGAGGAGGACGAGGAGGAGGAKGAKGAGGAAGAGTTGCAGAACCGGAATCCTTTCGTGGAGTACAGCGCAGAGGAGGATGATGGAGAAGATGAAGAAGGTGAGGAAGATGAAGATGAAAATGAGATTGAGGATGAAGAGGGGGACCTGTCCATGGAAAGCGATTTGGAGGAGCGCCATCCGGAAGCCAAGCTCCCCCATGAGCTCTCCTGGGGCCAGCGCAAGCAGCTCTACTATGACACGGACTATGGGACTGATGCCCAGGCCAAGGGCAAGCGGAGCCAGCAAGAAATCGATGCTGAGGAGGAGGAAGAGGAGCAGGAGGCTCAAGTGATCCAGAGACGGTTGGTGCAGGATTTGGGGGAGGATGATTGTGGGCTGGATATGATCCAGGGTTACCTGGCTGAGCAGCGGAAAGCCCACAGTAGCAAGGGGCAGAAGATTGATAAGGATCTGCAGGCCCTTTCCAAGAAGGAGCAGCTGAAGCTGCTGAAGCAGGAGTCCCCGGAGCTCCTGCAGCTGATGGAGGACTTTGAGGTGAAGCTCATGGAGATCAAGGATGAGCTGCACCCGCTGCTGCAAATGGTCAGAGATGGCACTATCCCYCAGGGGAAGGGCAGTCGCTATTTGCAGACCAAGTATCATCTCTACCTCAACTACTGTGCCAATATCAGTTTCTATCTGGTTTTGAAGGCCAAGAGGGTGCCAGTRCATAGTCACCCGGTCATTGAACGGCTGGTGACGTACAGAAACATCATCAATGACCTCGCTCTTATAGACCAAAAGCTTTCCCCACAGGTCCGGATGCTTCTGAGGCACTACTATGACAAGAAGGAAGAGAAGCTACGGAAGGAAAACAAGTTTTCAGTGTTTCTCACCATGGATGGCAAGAAAAACAAACCAGAGCGTGCCTCTGCACCTGTTAATGGCCATGCTGCTGCTGCTGCTGCTGCTGAATCGTCAGAGGAGTCGGAGCTGGATGAGGAGGCTGCACTCAAATACTACAAGATGATGGAGGAGAAGCTGGCCCTCAAGAGGAAGAGAGCTGGAGACAAAGATGTGCTTGAAGAAGCGGCGTCAGAAGAAGAGGATCCCAGTAAAAAGAGAGGAGTGACCTATCAGATGATCAAGAACAAAGGCCTCACGCCCAAAAGGAGGAAGATCGATCGCAACCCCCGGGTGAAGCATCGGGAGAAATTCCGGCGAGCCAAAATCCGCCGCAAGGGCCAGGTGCGCGAGGTGCGCAGGGAGCTGCACAGATACGCCGGGGAACTGTCCGGCATTCGGGCCGGGCTTAAGAAAAGCAGGAAGCTTAAGTGAGAATTATCTTCCTGTAAGAGCTGCAAGTAGCAGTACTGATCCAATAAAAACTTTATACACAATATTGTGGGGTTTATTCTTAAGGAGTCTGSGGGTGGGCTGATGTTTGTGTTTTTTTCAGAGGATGCTTTCTAGAAGGTGCCATCTCCAAGTGGCACAGGGCTCTTTGCACACCTGACTCATGTCTTAAGGTTTTTTGGTTTTTATCCTTTGTTTTGGTGCTGTCATGTTCCCATAAAAAGAAAATCTTGAGAAATTACAAGGGATGTTTCAGGCAAAGGGAATTCAATGGGCCATGTGGGATGGATGGGATGGGATGGGATGGGATGGGATGGGATGGGATGGGATGGGATGGGATGGATCTTTTGAGGGTGGGTTGAGAAAGGGGTTCAGCAGCTGTCACTTGCCTGCTCTGTTTGCAGTCTTGTTCTGATCCCTCCCGTACGTATTGAGCTGCAGAAATGTGGTTAATAGCATTTAAATCTTGTTTTGATTAACTCTTTTGTTAGCTCTTAAATGTATGGGCCCTACTTTTTGGCTGTCTTAAATGACTTAGYCCCATGTGGTCTGAAATACTGTTTTCCTTCCTGAATTCAGTGAAAAGGAAAGCAAGGACTTCTCTAGATTTTATAACCATATATATGATAACTTATATTGTGATAACATATGTAAAGTGTAACAAAATCTGTCTCAGGTGAAAACTGCGCTTTTGTCTGGGAGCCCATGCCTTGGTTTGTGTATCATACCAGCTGAAAGGTATKAGTTTTCCATATGAAATTATTTCAAGGGAATAATTGCCTTATCTAGTAATGGGTTTTTTGGTGTGTGTGAGGGTCTATGGGGAAGCCAAGATCYGAGTGTTTGCTCTTGATCCTGTGACAGGCCTGATTCTGTAATTCAAACATGTAGGTGCTGTGCTGGTGCTCTGCAAATGAAATGTGCTTTCATGGGGTTCCCATGTAAACCTTGACACCCCAGGCCTGTTTTGCCAGGAATATGCTGTTCACTGCAGGCTGGAGAATATTCTGGTTATTTTCCAGGCCGTTTGTCAAAGGTAGAGGTAGGAACACAATAACCTTAAGCTGGRCAGATGGGAACAGTCATTTTTTGCCTCAGGTGTACTGAACAGAGCTTTTCCTTAGAGCARTGCTTCCTCACCTGCCCTTACTGTGAGCAGCACTGTTGGCTGCTCCTTCTGCCCAGGGAGGAGTGAAGTAGAATTTTCCCACCTTTAACTCCCCATTGGRATCTTGATTGGAGGCTGTGGCTGATAATCCTGAGCTATGCTCCCGAGGCTGTGCCAAGAGGTCAGTGAGGGGTAAGATGCTGAGCAAAAAAGCAGCTTAGGTGCTTTTTCTGGACAAGAATGTGTTGTGTAACAGGCATCACGTGGGATGTGCAAAATACCCAGCAGAGATGCTCCCTGATCTCATTACTACAGAGYCTGCTTGTGCACCTTTCACACTTGCAAAAATAAAGGACTGATGGTCTTTCATGGCTCTGGCTTTGTGCTTCCTTGGAAAGCTCCGGRCAGCTGGCAAGCAAAATACTGGCARCTTCCACCTGAGCAGTAACTAAGGGAAATAAATCGGTGTGCCATTGCACACACATTCCCCAGAAAGGCTGGGATTAAGGCTGAAGGCAGAGTGTCAGCGGCACTGCCCTGCCCTGCCTGCTGGCCGATGGCACAGCACAGCTCCTGGGCTAATGAAGATTAAACAGGCATTATGGCCACTTATAACCAGGCATTATGGCCACTTATAACCAGCAATTATGGCCACTTGGCTAGTTCAGAGACTGGACAAAGCCAGCAGTATTGTTCCCGTATGCTTTCATGTATGGTGATCACGGGAATGTGTGCTTATTAATGCTGTGATTGTACAGCGTCTCTAAGAAATACTCGCACTAATGTTTTGTGCAGAAGGGAAATTGCTGGTGGTGAATGGGTTTGGAAAATCCCTAGGAAAATGGACACATGAAATCAAGCAAGGACCACGGGTGGTCAGGCAAGCAAGGACCGGATCAAAGTCCTGGTTAATGCTGCTTTGTTTGCTTTTCCAGTAGTGCTTCTGGAGAAGGTGCTGACACTGCCAAGGAGTGTTTCAGCCATGAGATGGCACTTGTCCTTGCCAGGATCSTGCTTGGAGAGGACTGGCAGCCTCAGCAGCACCTAAAGCGGGTGGGGACTCAGCTCAGGCTTTGTCTCACCCCTGTCACCCTCACAGCCATGGAAATACCTGCCCTGGGTCCTTTCCATCCGCTCCCCTGGAGCACAGTAATCCAAGGATAGTCAGTCCTGCTTGCACATAGATGATTCCTATTTTAACAGCCATAGGCAAACTATAGAAAGCTCCAAGGTGTAGCTATTCTTATTTCTTTCTGCACCTGGAAGACACAATCCTTGGGGGATCATGAGCATCCAGAGTAAGCCTGGCTGCCTTGGGAAGCTTGGGCAGTAAAGTACAGTGCCAGAGAGGGGTACAATGTTTTCTGCATCACAACCTGAAATTTCTGTTTATAAAGGGCAAAGAAAATACATTGAATAACTCACATGGAAATACATCTGCTGCTACCTTAGATTTTGTCAAGGTTTTCCTAGCCATGTAGGTTTTCCTAGCTGTGTTCCGTAATATCCCATCATAGACAGTCTGGGCATTGTTTTAGTTTTGTTAGCAAGCAGAAATTGAAACATTCAGCTGTGAGATTTGTAAAGAGGATTAAAGCATCTGTTCACTTGGTTGCAACATGTTGCATGACTTGGGGCAGCGCTGGAAAATCAGTCTCTAGAAGTCAGTTGCGTTTACAGCTTTGCTTTTGCAATTTTAATGTGAGATTTAAAAAGAAAGGAGAAAAGTGTTTCAGCTCTATCCAAGTGCATGGAAGGCAGGGTGTTCTTTAAAAACTGGCAGATTTATGTACTTCCTGCCCACTGACAACACCACAGTCCACATTAATTGCCTTGTCTTCTGAAAGAATCTCCCAAATGAAATTCCCAGTAGCACGTTGTATTTGGCAGTTTTAATACTAAGGAATATACTTGGACTTTGTCGCCTTTTGTCCCAGGATCTCCAAACGCTGCTGTCCACGAGCTGCCACGCCGGGGAAAGGCGATGGGAGGCAGGAGATGGTGCGGTGGATTCTGTTCACGGGTAAGAGCCCCGCACGCTCGGAGGGTGGCTGCCGGGGCTGCTGTCACCTCCCGTGCTCCCCCGGGGGCGGAGGATGGGGCGGGCGCGGCGCTTCCCGGCCGGGGCGGGGCGGGGCGGGGGCCGGGGCGGCGATGGCGGAGGCGGAGCGGGCAGCGCTGCCGCCGCCGCCGGCGGAAAGTTCCCGGGACGGGGCCGAAGCGGAGCTGTCCCCCGGCATGGAGCGGCGGCCCGAGCCCGGCGAGGCGGCGGCGGCAGCGGCGGAGGAGGAGSAGGAGGAGGCGCGCCCTTCCTCGCCGCCGTTCTTCCTCCTCTACCCCGGCCATGGAGGCGGCGCCGCGGCCGCGCCGCCCGGGCTRTGGAGACCCCCGGCGCCCCGCGGCGGGGCCGAGCTGCCCGTGCTGGTGCTGAGCTACCCGGGGCCGGACGGAGCCCGTGAGTACGGCGGGGCTGGCSCGGCCGGGAGCCTCCCTCGGGCCGGGGTGGGCGGCGGGCCGGGGGTCCCAGGGCGCTCCGCTCTCCGGTGCTCCTGCCCCGAGCACTGCGGTTCCCGGGGGGTGCGCCCGGACTGGGCTCTGGTGCCCGGCCCAAGGCTGCCCCTGCCGTGCGGGGCTGTGGCGGGTGCTCCCGGCGGTGCCAAGGGCGGCGGGGCTSAGGAAGGAGGCGGTTTGTGTGGGTGCCTCTGTGAGCCCTGCTGGCCCGGCAGCTCAGCGAAACCAGACCCATAGGGAGCCCTTTGAGGAGAAGCGGTGCCGCCCTTGGAAATCCAACAGGCTGTCCTGGACTCGGGGTGTAGTTTTGGGGCCGGGACCCCCCGCTCTGGCTTCCTCCTGGTGCTGGTGCGGAGAGCAAATGCGAGGCGAGGGCACTGCACGCTGGAGACCTGAAGAAGCTGAAGTGCATCTGTGTGGGTGTGTTGGGTGGCAAACAGTGTGCTCCTTTGTATGATTCTTTATCATGTTCTTGTGCTGGATTTGGGGAATCTGGAGTACTCCGAAGTACTTGGGTGTGTTTGAAAATCAAAAACTACACGCATGGGTGCATCTAGAAGAGATCTCTTTTCTGTCCATTCTAAAAATATCCAGCAGCTTCATCCTTTGGGCTGATGCCAGGGTGTGTGTGACTGAGCTTTTAGCCTTTGCTTTGTCACCTCCTGTCCCAGGTGAGCATTCACTCGTACAGGAGCTGATTTGTTTGGAGCGGGTATGTTTTTTTCTCCTTTGGAAGCTGATGTACTTGAAGGCATTACTCAGCAGAGCTGTAACTGGTGAAATAAGAAGTCCATGTCTGTAATGCCAAGAGGAGGTGAAATGCCCTGCCTTTGCTCTAAGCTCTGTGAAGGACTGTCTGTGACTGCCAACTTATGTCCAAAGTTCCCCCTGCTAAATTGTTGTTTAAAATGATAGGCTTCTGTCAAAAACTTCAGTTTTACTTGTAATATTTTTCTAATCAGAAGATTTTTACTAATAGTAAACCCTGTGATGTGCATGCAGAGGATTGAGCTACTTCAGATAGACAAGAAGACTTCAAGAAAAATATTTTATTCTAGCTGTTGAAAGTTTTTGAGAAGCTCTTATATGGATGCAGAGAAACCAAAGCATTGAGATGAGCACATTTRTGCCCAAAGAATTAGTGGAGAGGCTCAGTGGTTGAGCAATACTTTATCCTGTGTCAGCCTTATTCTGCAGCGATTGTGCATATAAACTTTGTGAAAAACCTTTCTAAAATGCATATAAAAGTTGCCTTGTTCTTGTGAGCCGTGGAGGTGAGAGCTGCCTGTGTGGTATCGTGTGTCACAGCCTGCTCAGGGACTGACTGATGCAGTGATAGCAGTGTCTGGAGGGAACAGCAATCAGCATCTATTTGCATGGTGCCCTGGACTCTGTTYCTCCTGGGGAAACTCTGTCTGTAAATCACTTTCTTCCATCATCTCTTTGTTCTTGTTTTTTCCCAGTTCTCACATCTCTAAAAGCATCTTTCATTTGTTCTCACRGAGTAGCAGGAGCAGTGCAGTTCTGCTGCTAAGTCTTGGATGTTACAGGGAGGCAGTGGCCACTACACCAGCAAATCAGTATTTCAGAATATTTTGGAGGTTTATTTCAAGTATTTTGTTTCCTGTTATAACGCTATCATTGAACTGTTCTCTTCTATTCTCACCTGATTCCAAACATCAGATGAAGGCCAGAGCTGCTTAGGGAAGGAGATTGCAAAAGCTCTTCATGGCATCAGCTCCTGCTCACTTGTTACAGATGGTTCCAGGCAGAAGGAATGAGGTGATGTACTTAGACATTCTGACCTGCAGTAAAACCTTAAAATACTAGTAAAATACAATAAAAGCAMCTTGATTAAGCTGTCCTTAAAAAAACCCAAACCCCTAAACCTTTCCTTGCTCTCGCTGAAAACCCACCCAATACCATACTTGAAGTAGACTTTTCCTTCCCACTTTTTAATTGTACCTTCAATTGTGAGTGTTACTTCAATCCTTCAATAACATCTCTGTGTTTCRCATTAGGTAAAGAAAAATGTGTCAYTTCTTAATTAAGCAATKGTTACTGATTTTGGGGTTGTTAAACTTCCTTTTGCCCATTCCTGTTTGAGCTTGCAGGGTTTGGAGTAGCTGGTGTTTGAGGTRATGTGCATATCTGTGCTGGCAGAGGAGTCAGAAGCACACTTTGCCATGTAGATGCTGCGTTGCTAATTTTATCTTTTTAGATTACATTCCATGTCAGAGATGGCTTTGTCCTTTTTGCTTTGGAATCTCCACACAGCGAGGGGGAAAATTTTCTCCTGATAATGGAAACACAACTTGCTCACCGGCTCTGAAAATAAAAGTAGACCCAGAGATGCTCCCTGGAGTCATAAGGGTGGTTTGGAAATTTGTTTGGGTTTCTTTGCTTAGATTATTCTAATTTATTCAGCTTTGAAACTCAAAATACTTCGCAGTACAGTTGAGCTCTCAAATACTGGTGGCTGACAGAGTGCTTGSTGTTCAGGTGGTTGATCTTAAAATTCCAATGCAGTCAGTTTGTGATTCTTTAATCTTAAAAATGTTTTGGCAGAACCCTGCTACGTTTTGCAATCTGGCCAAAGCCTCTGAGGGCTTGTGCCAAAGTGTAGCACAGAGGAAGGTTTGTAGGACCAGTCAATGCTGTCTGACTGGTTTGAGATGGAGAAAGTAGTTTGTCTTGCACAACCTCTGCATTTATCCGTAATTTGGGTTTTCCTGTGTCCATGATCATCCTGGAACCCTGATGGAGCCTTATCAGGTGCCCTTGAGTTGCCTGGTAGTTGTATGAAAGGTTTTATGAAAACACAAACATTCAATATATTGAATTTATTCATTAGATACTTCTGAGTTTATAATACCTTGCTTTTATAATTTTGAGGCACAGGATGGGGATAGGGGAAGATTTGTCTTGTGGTTTTTAGGTGGTGATTAGAAGGTCACAAGTCAGTAAGTCCAACAGTTCCTGATTGGGGTTTTTTGGGTTTTTTTTTTTTTTCGGTTTTGGAAATAAGTAAAAGAATATTTTCCAAGTACTTTAAATACCCTTATGGAGTATTTGCGGCAGGATCATTGCATAAAGGAGCCTGAAAATAGAACTCAGCTGGAAGGGGAAGACTGGCTTCTGTTATTTCTTCATGTTAAAAGCAAACCGATGTAAGTTGAACAGTTCCTGRTTTTTTGAGCAGGCCTTCCCTGTGACCCTGGTGCGTAGGGCACTTGCTGAAAACCCTATTGTGAAATGGGAGCTGCAGGGTTACACCCAGTGCTGTTGGTATTTCTAATTGCTTCCAAACAAAGAAATTCAACTGTCTGATAATGAGATCTGTTGGATAATAGCTTGAGCAACAGCTTATGGTGCTTTGTTGATTCTCAAGGGTTTGTTTTGGCCATGTGCTGTTTGTTTAGACCCTGTCCAAGGGTTAGCCAGGGCCAGCAGCTGTTCTGTAGCAGTTGATGCGTGGCCACATTCACTGGGTTTGCTGCTATGTGGATGCTCTGACTCGAGGCTGTCATTGCTGAAAGGGTGTATAAATATACGAGTTAAGATGCTGTCAGCACGATTTATAAATCCTGTTCTCTTGGGGAGAAGGAACAATAGTAATTCTTGTTTTCTTTGCAATAATTGCCTTTTTGATTGCTGTCAGAACAGGCTGCGTGATGCTTGGTTGGCTTTGGCCTAATGGGGAAAAAGTTTGAGTAAAAATGTGCTGTACTAAGCAGGAAGTTTTCACTGATAGCAACTGCTTCCTCTTGCCAGTCAGAAATAGCAACTCTTAACCCTTTTTCCCAGTTTGGTGAGGCTTTTACAGGATGGACGCTGTTTCTTTCCGAAAGCTGCGTGCATCAGCATGCTGAATTCTGTATCCAGCAGTCTGSTTTGACATTTCACATCCCTAAGAAACAGAAGTACATCCTTTTGAGTATTTCTTTAGGGAACAAAAAGCAGGGAGAACAATTTARGTCCCGTACATTGATCATGTGTTCATATCAATACACTGTTCTGATGGCAGCCTTCTCCAAGGCTGTTGGATGTTAAATACATCTGCCCTCCTCAAATACATTGGAGCCACACTGAAATGAAGTCAGATAAAYTCATTTATTGGTGCCTCGTATCATTGTTGAAATGGGTGGTGGCACTATAGTGACCTTGGGAATGAGAAGCCTGTCTGGTGACCTGGGACCGATTGTCCCCCAATGTGTGCAGTGACTGTGTGCATTGGGGACATAGGGGAGGTTCAGCCAACCAGTGCTGTTTGTATAATTTTATTGTCTTATTGTTGAGAGGTTGAAAGCCTGTTTACCTTCCTGCTGAGAGATAGTATTTCTTTGTCTGCCTCCCCTGAGCAGTACAATTTTCAGGCGAGATTTTTGAAGTATAGGATTGGGTCACAGTGTTTGTGGTATTCTCCCTTTTTGTCCTCCCATGTGCACATGCCCTGCTGAAAGAGCTTCATCTTCAGTCACTGAAGTGCTTAGAGCCASATCATTTTTCCTTCCAGTTTCCCTGAGACAATAAATCCATCCTAACATGTTTTGTACGTGGGAAATTTTATCTTCAAGGTGCCCCCTGAGAAGGTGGCACAGGGAATAAAACCCAAACCGCGACTTGCACACCTCCCATGAAAACAAAGGTGCCGATTGAATTCCTGTAGTAGCATCCAGGGATGCGAGAGGAATACAAATGTGGCTTTGTATCGCCGACGCTGCTCCTTTGTATTCCGGGGGCGATGCCCGGGGGGTGCGGGTGTTGCGCTCGCTCCGAACGGGCTGGCACAGGAGGCGAGGAGGTGCCGTGCTGCTGAGCGCCTGACTGGCGGCYCCGCATCAGCAGCGTCTCGGCAGCATCCTGGGAATCGCGGGCGATCACATGAGCCCGGCTCGCCAGCTCTGTTCATTAGTCAGCCATTTTGGTCGCCACCCTGCTSCCTGCGCACAGCCAATCCCGGCGGCACTCGCTGCCCGGGCTGCGCGGGCACGGGGGACCGAGCGGCCGCATTTCGGCACACCGGGACGCTGCTGCTCCGCTCGTCCTTSGCTTGCTGCTGGCCTCATCGCCGGACCAAGACCTTCTTTTTGCTTCTGCCGCCTTTTTTTATTTTTTCTTTTTCTATTTTTSCCTGATTTTCCCTGCCGCCTTTGGTGCAGAAGGCAGGTTTTCTTGGATGCTGAGGATCGATAGGCTCTAGCATAGCTGGAGACGACGGCAGTCGGTGGAAAGGAGGGAGGCAGAGCTGAGCGGGAAGGAGCAGCGTTTTTACCTTGCTTGATCTATGAAAAGGCCAGAGCAGCCTCTGTGATCCTGAGCAATCTGTCCTTTAATCGCAAGGTATTTCTGATTTTCTTCTTCAGAAAGCTTTTGTTTTTAGTCCTTATTTTGCCCCCGTTGTTGTTGTACCAGCTGAGTCATCATGTCTGCTCTGACGCCTCAAAGCGACATGCCAACCCCCACCACAGACAAGATCACTCAGGCTGCCATGGAGACCATCTATCTTTGCAAATTCCGCGTGTCGATGGATGGAGAGTGGCTGTGCTTGCGCGAGCTGGATGACATCTCGCTGACACCCGACCCCGAGCCTACCCACGAAGGTACGGTCCGGTTCTGCCCCGGGAGCCCCGGGCCAGCGCTTTGTTCCGCCGCTGCACGAGTTGGGAGGGGGCGTCTCCAGGACCGAATGCTCGTGTCCTGCCTGCAGAGCCTGCACAGCCGGGGGTTATATCAAAGAGCCACATTCTGCTTCAGATTGCCCTCGGAATTTGTAACCCAGCCCTTGGAGGCTGATTGGTGATAAATTATCTTTTTAGCTGTATCAGGTTTGTGTATCTCAGGAAGATAAACCGTGATGTGTGCTCAGTGAGAACATTTAATCGTGAGTTTGCACTTAAATCAGGGCTGAYAGCTCTGCTAGAGAGCTGCCAGTTGGTACCAGGGGAGCGCAGTGGCAGCACCCCCGCCTGTGCCCGGTCATGGGGAGTTTTTGGAAAGCCCCAGCGATTACGCAGCGATGCCCTTTGTCAGGTGACCATGCCATCACAGTGCCCCAGCTCGCCTCTGATGAGCGTGCTGCTGTTTAAAATGGCTTGGAATCCTCAAACTTGGAGATGTAGCACATCTTGCTTTCCTCTGGAAAAAGGATTTGTCATCTGGGTTGATAAACAGTTTAATACCAGGATGAGGATTGAAAGCTCTGAGTACGAAAAACATGAGAGGACATCTACGCAGTGCTCTTYCAATACAAAGTGGAGAAGAAGGAGCAGTGATGAGTTTCTGCAGGTGCTGAGGTTCTGAGTGCCCTTGCTGGGTGCACCTTTTGGTTTCAGAGCAGGGAGGCTCCAGGTTGTCATGCCTGACCCTTTTCCAGTAACTCTTGAAATGCCACTCCACCAAGCATTCTTGCTTGACCCGTTTGATGCTCGCTGGTTAAGTCAGCATTATCTTACATTGTCTTGCTGAATGAGACAAGTGTAATTGTGGTGGGGATTTAAGATTTAAAATAAATTTCCAAGGGATAATTTAATTTCCATKTGACAGCTGCTTTCAGTGACAGTAGCCCTTGGGTTTGGATTTGGCTTGCCAAGTACTTAGTCACGCAGTGGGAGACCAGACAGAGGTTTCAAAAGGAGAAACTTAGCATTCCCTCTGAAGCWTATCCCAGGGGTTCAGGGAGGTGACTACAGGGTGAGCAGGAATTCAGTTGTCTTCCAATTCCCATGYTGTTKTSTGTGACATTGAGGCTTTCCTTGGTCTTACTCCAGTGTTTTTCAAGGTGTAATTACAGTCCCTCTCTGGTGAGTACCAGAACAGTTTAGAAGACAGTATTTGCTCATTTCATTGTCATTTAATTCAGATGTCAAAAAYAAATTCAAAAAGAGCAGTACCATAACAACCTTCACGGAGGTATTTATGCATACATAATGTAAGGTTGCATGTTGGTTGGTTGGGRGTTGTATTTGGATCCAAGTCATGTTTTGACCAGAGAAGGTCAGGAAAAATGTTGACAATAGGAGAGCTGACACAGCTGTATCCCGGTGCTGGATCTGGTGCTACTGCATCAGCACTGCTGCTGTGTCTGCAGGGTGTGCACAGCTCAGGGCCACAGCACCATGGGCTCGTGCCTTTCATAGGGTCACCATAAAACTGATGAGCAAAGGTGGGCATTGTGAAAAAGGGRAAAAAAAGCTGTACAATTCTGCCAAAGGCATAGCAAATCGGGACAGTTGTTTCCTTACAAGTCAAAGACATGTAAAATACATATTGCAGTAAGTACCAAATCCAACAGCTTGTTGGAATAAAGATTTGAAGCCTTCCATTGCTGTCCCTCAGCTCTTGCTGCTGCTGGAGAGTTTTGTCATTGGCCTCTCTGATCTGAGTCCCCATCCCTTGAGCAGCCATCCTACCTTAGAGCCATTCACAGCAATTCCAGCCCTRCACAGAGCTGGGGCTTCAGAGRAACTAAGCAAAATTTTTCAGGCAATTGATTGCAAATGGCACACACTGAGTTGCTTAGTATTCCATGCAACCTGTAGCATGGCTCAATTTAACAATAAAAGCAATTAATGCACTTTTTCAACTGGTTGAAACAATTCAGTGTGCATGTGACAATACACAGGTTTTGCTGTTTACTGTAAATCTGCTTGGTTTAGATAAAAGACTTACCTTTTAAAACAGGCAGTGATTCTTAATAGGACAATCAGAACCTTCCTGTGCTCTGCACACCCCTCAAAATTCAATGTGACATTGGTGGTTGTTAATTTTATTTGCTTGAATTGTATATGACAGTCTTTGAGGCATCATGAAGGATAGAGGTAAAATACACCTGGGATATATTTCTGTTGAAGAGAGCGTGTGTGTGTATGGATGGCATCGAACACTGATCTCAGCTTTGGGGAAAAGTCAAACACAATGGCCTTTTTAAAGGTTGTTTTACTGGATGTCAAATTTCTATGTTGAATAATCATGAGGAGCTTCACAATAGAGCTGTGGAAATTTTTGTCCTCATGGCATCACCTAGTAATAGAGACCAGAAGGAAYACATGTGCTAACTGGAATTTACTTGGAACTTGCAGGAATTACAGTATTCCTCTTTTTATTAATCCTCTTCTAGTTGCACTCACAGGAGCAACTGGAATTGGAATTTATAACATGCAAAGATTAAATTATCTTTTCTATAGGGCACAAGCTAAGGTCAGATTTTTTCTTCTTTTTGACCAGTAATTTAGGAGTTTTAGTTTCTGACACATGCTTTTGTAAAATGCCCCAACAAGTTGTAGAGCKCTTCAGGAAAGGCAAATGTTCTTTTTAAAACCTACTGCCCATTAATGTGTTGCACCAATTATTGAACCATCCTTCAGATTTTGCCTTTTCTCTCAATTTTCTATCCAAGTGTTTTTCTGTGTTTCTTTTCATACTTCAGAATGGTTTAGGGAAGCAGCATAACCTTTTTGGTTGTATTTTTGTTTTGCAAACTGGCAACTGTTACTTGGGTTTATGCTTTCTCTAATAGTGTGAAATAGGAACAGTAAAGGCATGGGAGGGGTGGAATTGTTCAGTGGATTGGGCCTTTGCCTTCACAAAGAAAAATCTTGAGTTGTAGTGTACTGTACAGGGACCTTTCAGGTGTGGACAAAACCTGCATGAGATGGCTCTGTAGTTGGAGAAAAATGTCTTAAAACACATCTACTGACAGAAACCCCTAAATAGATCACAGGTTTGAAGGAGCTGGAGACCAGATCTAATAGAACAAATGTGAAGTGAGTAAGTGCAAGGYAAATGAATTACAGTTTGTTTGTGGTCATAAATTTTGGGAATAGCAGTTAGGTCATATAATCCAAACTTCAAATCAGAAATTACTCTGATGAGTTATTTTCTTTGCTCTTTTAAGCTGTCAGTCTAAATGAAGTCTGACCTGGAAAACTTTAAACTCTAAACTGGGCAGGTTTAGATCCCTCAAAGGTGGTGAATCAAAAGTGCTACAGAGAAACCACTTGGGTGTCAGCCAAACTGGGAAGTGAAAGATTGGAAAAATCCCTGAGGATCTGGGTTTATGTTTTCTYGGTGTAAACTGTCAAGGGCCAAAATAGGATGTGAAATTTCACATAGCAGTTAGTCATGTGTTTCCCTCTGAAAACAGGCTGGTTGTGCAGAAACATTCCATACAACTGCACACAGTTGCAATATAGAGAAACTGGGGAATTGTTTAATGGTCATCATGTGGAGATGGAAATAAGATTTAGGATGGGATTGTACTGTGAGTTCATGAGRGGTTCATTGGCTGTTTATTTGCTCCATGGGTGTAATGGAGGGTGGGCTTGGAATTTCCAAGTTGTCTGTGCTTCTTTATTTTTTTTTTTTGTTTCCTCCTGTTTTGTTGCAGATCTTTGTTATTTTCTTCTGTTTGCAAGGCTCTGCGTATATGTGCATATTTAAAGTTGGAATTTTTAGGCAGTGGCTTTTAAAATAAATGTTTTTTTAAGCTACTTGGTCCTGAACAGATAGTTCCTGGCATTCCAGGTTGYAGACTGCTTGGTGGCTTTGCTGATTTTGGACTTGCAGGTTTTTTGAACATGATCCTGAAACAATTCAGGATCCACCTCATTTGCAAACCTAACCTGAAAGAWGTACTTAGGTACACCCCATAACACTACCAGCATCTACTAATTTTCTTCCTTGACCTCCTTAGGTACTATTAAGTGTATTCCTAAGGTAASAAATATGAGAATGCAGTTTAAGTATAGTAATGTGTTTAGAGGTCCCCATTTCATAATAAAGCAACATTTATTCAGATTTGGGCCAAGCCTTTCCCGGCAGCCCAAGCAGCAGGACTGACATGGCCCCATCGCTCAGGACTTTCTATATCAAACTCAGTTTTCACTTCCCAAAACTGAAGCCTTTGGGGTATTTTAGGTTATTTTACTGACAGTTTAGCTTCTCCTTAGGAGTTTTTAAAAAAGAATTTAAAAAATCCTGGCCTATTTAAAAACTTGTGACCTTTTCTTCCTGACAGAAGAACCTCTTCCCTATGTGTGGTGAGGCCCTGGCACAGGCTGCCCAAAGAAGCTGTGGAAGTGTCCAAGGCYGAGCTGGATGGAGCTTTGAGTGATTTGGGATAGTGGAGGGTGTCCAAATAACAGAGGGAATTTCTCTTATTTATATTTTAGAGATAAGTTCTCTKGTTCCTTCCTGAAGAACTGGCCTGAGTGTTCATTCCAGTGGGATATTCAATTACATAATCCTAATCTTTCTGGGAATCTGGTTGGAATGAGTTAATCGTTTTATGGAGACTTAAAAGTCTTGGTCATCCTATTTTCTAAACTTGGTACAGAGTTAAATTACTGCTATCATAATAAAATGTATTGAGTTGTTCACACACCCTAAGGACCATGGAAACTGTACAGTTTCAGATCTTTGTGATTCTTCTGTGTGAAGATGCTTTTCCCCCACGGTTGCTTGGTGGAATTTCCAGACAAGTGGGAAAATATGCAATGTAAAAGAAGAAATTAACTCTATGCAAAGTGCAGTTGGATGCATAGAGAATGCAAGAAAATAGGAAAGAAAGTGCTAATTAAACATGTGCTTTTGCCTCTAAATC